GAGCTCGATGCTGCTGGCAGCCTGGCACTGCCTGGGTACTGCGGGCAGAAGACCCGACCCGACCCGAAGAAGACCCGACAGTTTCACGTGCGCACCCTCTCTCGGCCCTCGAGACTCGAGAGAGCGGAATAGTCGCGGCCAGCCCCACACAATCGCTGCAGGTTTTTATAGGACCGCCAGCCAGCCAACGGTACTGCTAACAAATCGAACGGCGCAAGCAAACTCGCCACACCACTCGACAATGACGACACAAACAGCTTTTTGCTGCCGCCCCGAGTAACTTGAGGGACCGAAAGCGCCACGCCTGGCCAAACCAAGACACGAGCAAATACTAGACATGAAACGTAAAATAGATACGCGTTGCACCCGGAACAAGTTTTATCACGGGTATCTAATCGGAGAGATTTTGCTACTCAATTTGAACCAAAGCTGTTCTTCTGTGGACCGTGTCGAGAAATTAGGCCCCAGCTGACTGCTGCTAACTGAGCGACAGTTGGGAATTAGGCCCCAGCTGACTGCTGCTAACTGAGCGACAGTTGGGAATTAGGCCCCAGCTGACTGCTACTAACTGAGCGACAGTTGGGAATTAGGCCCCAGCTGACTGCTGCTAACTGAGCGACAGTTGGGAATCAGGCCCCAGCTGACTGCTGCTAACTGAGCGACAGTTGGGAATTAGGCCCCAGCTGACTGTTGCTAACTGAGCGACAGTTGGGAATTAGGCCCCAGCTGACTGCTGCTAACTGAGCGACAGTTGGGAATTAGGCCCCAGCTGACTGCTGCTAACTGAGCGACAGTTGGGAATTAGGCCCCAGCTGACTGTTGCTAACTGAGCGACAGTTGGGAATTAGGCCCCAGCTGACTGTTGCTAACTGAGCGACAGTTGGGAATTAGGCTCCGGCGACAGCTGACTAAGCGGACTGTGCGCGTAACTTTGGTCAGGTGACCGTGAGAGAGACACAGCTGATCGGCGCGCCGAGCGGGAACGAGACACAGCTGATCGGCGCGCCGAGCGGGAACGAGACACAGCTGATCGGCGCGCCGACCGCGACAGAGACACAGCTGATCGGCGCGCCGAGCGGGAGCGCACACTGAGCGCCGAACAAAGCCGTCCTCCGACACAGAGAGGATGACTGGGTCGTCCGGCCGCCCCTCAGCGTGCACCGCGGTGGACCGGGGTCACCTGCACCCGGCCGATGACTGGCCAAGGCACACCACGCACGTGCAGAGCGCATCCGCACAAGGAACAGGGCCGACTGAGTCAGAGGGAGGGGAGGGGTAGAGAGGGGAGCAGAGGGAGAACGGCGGTAGCAGATAGAGCGGAGCGCTGGAGCATCCCGTACAGACAGGATGTGTAGCTGGAGGACCAGTGTGCTGACTGGTGACTGGTGAGTCATAAAAACTGCTGACTACGCACAGTTCACAATGACCAGTTCGACCTACTGCCCCAAAATCACGGGCCAGTACAGAGTGAATAAAGAACACCAGTGTCCTTTATTCACTCTCGTCTTTTGGACACTTACTGACCCCAGAGTCCAGTGCCCAGCCCAGGCAAGTTCGACCCACTGTCCCAGGTGCAACATCGTCCAATGTCCCGCCCGGACCAATTCAACTAGCCGACCCCATATCCAGTCACCCAGTGTACTGCGCGACCCACTGATCACCAGGGTCCAGTTTCCAGACGTCCCGTGAAGTCCCACCCAGTGGCCCTGTACCTCAGTGTCCAGTCCGGTGCACTCATCCTGTCCCCAGTGTCCAGCACCGTCCAGTCCGCCCCGTCCCACTGACCTGGTAGTCGGGTCCGCCGAACATGATGTGCCGCTGCTTGGAGCCGGCGCTGGCCGGGCTGCTGGGCGGCGGCGTGCCGGCGCCGGCGGCCAGCGCGGCCGCCTCCTGCTGGCGCGCCAGCAGCTCCTCCAGCTGGCGGCGCCGCTCGAGCTCGCGCTCCATGCGCCGGCGCCAGGCGTCCTCACGCTGCGCCATCAGCTCGGCGCAGTGCTGCAGCGTGGACAGCACGCCCGACGTGGTCGCCTGTCGACAGACAGTCAGGACAATCAGACTCCGACCACTAGACAGGGAAGCCTGCCGACACAACGGGCGATCTGCCCTGTCCACTAGATCGGACAGCTAACCGATATATAGCAGTCATTCCGTCCACTAGACCGGACATCGGGGTACTCCCGACTCGGAAAGGCGACTAACTCCGGATAAGGAGAAAATATTAGGAGGGAACGATATCTTCTTTGAGAAACATTGGCCTGATGAAATATTCACTATTCAGAGTTCGATTCGATTAACTGGAATGAGTACATTTTCCCCTCTGAGGAATTTGAGCGGCGTAAATGCCTACATAAGAACAGCAGCCCACCGGCCACTATTATAACCATTTTCTTCGTCCAAATACCAACATTCAATGGTGACATGAAAAAAAAAACGATAGGAACGGAAATGTTTGATATTGCCTTTTAGGACAAAGTTCCATTTCGATTCAAGCCCTTGAGTAACCTATCACGAGTTTTGCACCGGCATTAGCGCAACTATGCCCTAACCTTGCCGGTGTTAACCGTATCCAAATAAGAGAACACCGACATGCTACCGGCTTTTTTACCCTTAGTCACGTAGCGTTCACGTCATGAGATTTGTCAAAATACCGACATGCACATAGCACAATCCCCATCCTTTACATATTGCGCAGGTGGTGGTAAAAATCAGGGTGTAAAAATCACCGGTAGTCGGCCGTACTTGGATGTCGGTGACGCGACAGAAACATCTTAACAGCAGCTAATTGATTGATAATGAGTGGAAAGCGGACGCATTTCTACACAGGCGTTATCAATGTATGTAGATTTTGCTATATCGACAATATGTACGTATCCGATGTAGCAATATGGACATCGACAAAATGAATTGATTATTACCGTGCAATAAAGATGAGATTCACTCGAGTCGCAGATCTCCTCAGCAAGCAAAAGGCACGCTAATTTCAAAACCTATGACGACATAGCTACTTCAGAGTACATCGAACGTCCGCTTCGAGTACCGATCGTAGTCTTGTTTCGACTTTCGTCGCTGTTCGAACACGTTCTATTCACCTTAAACGTGATGGCCTCTCCTTTGAAGTCGATCGGATCCAGCCCCTGCGCCTGGAACGCCTCTCGCGATGGAGTCGGTGCTGAAACCGGTCGCAAAACAGCGGCGTAAGCGGCACGCTACTTCCAAAGTTGGGGCGAAGAAAGAGCGCTTGGACACATAAATACACATAAATACCACGTTATGCTAAGCTGTCACACCATACGTTATCATGCAGCCAACCCTTTCGTTAGATAAGTAATCAAAATGAACATTACAGCTGGAAGCTGATTCGATGAAGTCAATGATAACATGGATTGTCGTTTTTATGACATTTTATGAACTAGTACGTCATCGTAGTCCGACATCAACAAATAGCTTCGAAGCATTTAGATCATTCATCATATTAAAGCATTACCTAGAAGAAAAAACTCACAGCGACATATGCGTGAGCCAAGCGTTTAAAACAAGCCAGCGCTGGGATTCAAGATTCCTTGCGATCTGGTTGTCATTGCCGTCTCGAACAGCTTATTATTTATGGTCACCACCTTGATAAACTGGCCTCAGAATCCGGCCACGAACATTTGATTGGGCACTATCGTCATTTCCTGCCACCAACCGGCACACGGGTAAATCTATGAATCATGCACATGTGCTATCGCCTCACGCCTGCCAACGGACGGATGTCGGTTCCACCCGACCCCACCGCAAACGCCGGCTACAGACAACCCCACCCTGGTGCCCCACATATTCCGAACCACGGATTCCGACCGTGCGGGTCCATGGTCGGACAGCAAACCTACACCCGTGCACCTGAGCCTCGACTTGCATCCCACATCGGCCGGGCTCACTGCCAAACAGCACACCCATCCCGGTGTCCCGAGCGCCACTTACGGGCTTTGGCGGCGTCACCTCGCGTCTCCGTCGGCAGGGCATCGTCGTCGCTATCACTCCAGGCTGCGACGCACAGCACAGTGCAGCGTGAGCGCGAGCAGCGCACCCAACGGGCATGGGCAGTAGTTCACCGAAACTTAAATGTCGTTCCACATTGAGCCAACCCAAACTAATGCGTACTCAAAATGAACGAATGCTGTCGTGCTTCCCCGTTCCCATATGAGTTGCACTACTAAACCACATGCATACCCTCGTGCTGAGTCAGTCACCGGTGTCCCCTCCCCTCCCGTCCAGCCGTTCGTCATTGTACGAGCGTCATACGCCCACACCCCAGAAACAGCTCACCTGGGTGTCCCACGCCGTGGCCGCGGCCGGCGTCCGTGACCGAGATGCAGGCGTCGAAGTAGTTCTGCATCGTGTCCACCTGGCGCGTCAGGATGTCGCGGAACGTCTCCAGTTCCTCGACCTTCTCCCGCAGACCTGGCGGAGCGAGAGCAGAGCCGCTGACACCCGACGCCGCGACGACAGCGGGGCGAGGGAGCGCAGAAATCGCATGTATTCAGAAAAGTTCCGTGATTTATCAGTTTTTGCTCATTCACGTAATTTTTACAAAACACTGTGACATACGCACTCGCACAGCGACACTGCGTACAAGCGCATGTGTAAACATTGCCTCGCACACTCCGCTTCTGTGGCTTAGTGTTTTAGCATATCACTTGACATCTGCGCTAAGCGTCCCAGACACCCTGGGTGCTCTGTGACAGCGGCGGATACAGACTAGTAGGTGGGGGTGGCGACCGGCACAGACGCCATCGTTTCGCCGCAGACGGCCGTACCTTTGCACCATTTGACGCCGGAGCCGGACAGCGTATTGGATGTGAGCGAGAGCGCCGAGCCGTGCCGCTTCAGACTGTTGGCGCTGCCATACGCCGAGTCCGCCTGTGACAGAGTAGCGATAAGTCAGCACAAATTCTCACATTTCCAGCGATTCAACGACCACTATCTGATAATTTACTAATAGTCCCGTCCATTTATCAGGGCTATATGATATCTCTGGTAATCGCAATGACAAGACGCGCGCATGTGTAGATTATCCCTATCTTTGCCTCTCACAGCATGCATAAACAAAAACTGTCACGGCAGGAGAGGGGTGGTCCAAACACGGTCATATTATCGTATCATAACGGAAAAGATGAGAATACCGCCAACTATGATCAAATAATACATACACATAACAGACAAATAGGTAGAACAATTGTCACATCTCATGACCAGACCACTGTTGGTGGACGACACAGGGGCGGTATCAGCAGTCGGGCGGGGTGGCCACTCACGCATTTGGCGCGCTCGATGGCCTCCATCCAGCGGTTGCGGTCGTCGAGCGCGTTGGAGCGCAGGTACCACACCGAGTCGCCCACGCAGACGTCGAACCGACACTCATCGAACTCGTGAGGCTGCCGGAGACAGCGCGGCGGTCAGGGGCGGCTTACACAGACGGAAAATGATCGGGACGGGCCGAGACAAATCTGGTCTACAGAACCACACACAGGAAAGCGACCTAAACCAACAAAGGTCGTTAAATTGTTGAGATTCACTGGATAAATCACATGATTCTGTTGATAGTTGGTGACCTCAGACCTGAAGTCAAAAAGTTTTTGCATCATGAACCAAACCAAGGCAAGGAAAGTTGCGCTGGGACACTAATTGTGGAGGAGGCTGCTAGGCTGTCATGACTGGCTGCCACGGGAGGCTGTAGGGCTGCCCCCAGTGCCCAGTCTCCGAAGCAAGCACCGCCGCCGAGCAGCGTTCCCGACCACCAGCATCCCCACCTTGATGACAGCTTTGAAGACGCTGATGGCACCGCGACAGCCGACGCCCTGCTCGTGCTCAGACTTGTAGTAAGAGAGTGTCCCTGTCAGGAGACACAAACAGGGCATCAGGGCACCCGAAAATTTACAAGCTATACAAATACATAAAGACTGCTTAGTTAACCTTAGATATATGTATATTACTGTCTAAGAAGCACACTGCACAACAACTTACGATTGAAGAAAAATATTGATGGGTAAGAAACTAGTTTTTTTTACAACACACACCACAAGAAATGACAAATGACACATACCATTTGATAGAACCATCCAGCGACTTTGCCAGCCATGAATGTAATTTGTCCATTTACTCAGAGACCCTTCATAGGCAAGAGGTGCATTCTGCTGTTCCATTTCTTCATCTTCATCACTCAAGTTAATAGTGGGGTCGTCCATGGTTGCCTAAAACAAAACAAGAGTTTGCCATATTAGCAAACTTTTGAGGCTGAAGCTGAAACATGGCCTTCTAAATGGTACATCACACTGCACAAAAAGGTAGTGCATTTAAATGAACTTTTGGATATGGGCAGTCACAGGTCCTTGCACTGTCATGTCAAGAATTGGTTTTCAAACAGCACATTCTAAAAAAATCACACTTCACTACAAAGTCAGAGCATGGGTCAAAGCTCATCTTGGCCTCAGCTATGGATGCACACCAGTCTAAAAAGTAACTACCTACTTATCTACCTAAGGCAATTTCAAGAGCATGTTAGTGTGAGTACTGATATTGCTGGGTACCTATGCCACTATAGACTTACTACAATATAGTGGAGAAATTCAACATGCATAAATTTGAAATTATGAGTGGAATGCTGCATTGCTGCTAAGCCTGCTGTAGTATTTCTACCACTCTTCCCTGGCCCAAAACAATAAAACATTGGGGATATGGTGGTCAGAACAGGAACCTTTGCATTTTTCATGAATGCAGATTTCTGAAAGCAGTGGTGCCAATTTTGGATTGATCTTCAGAATCCAGCCTAGTTGGTGTGAATTATTACAGACCATCATCTCTACCCCTGGCTCATGGCTGCAGGTTCATTATGATTGATTTTCCTTGCTGCCAAGTGCCAGTATTTGCTGTTTACTGCAAATAACAGCATGTTATGGTGCCGCCTATTAGACTTATAAGAGGCACCATGCCAGGTACCTATGTAAAAGAGGTCAGTAGATAATTTATGACTATAGCACACCAGCCCCTCACTGCTGATTAAATGCGCTTGCCTCACATGATAGTAAAAGGCATGCTAGCTTAATATCAGCATTGTGCAAAAAAATACTCAAAAGTTAGGAGGGTATCTAAACACATAAAAAATACAAAACACCTATCTACCTACTTAGGTAGGCATTAACTACATATATATATATATATATATATATATATATATATATATATATATATATATATATATATATATATATATATATATATTATATATTATATATATATATATATATATATATATATATATATATATATATATATATATATATATATATATATATATATATATATATATATATATATATATATATAGTTAATGCCTTCCTAAAACCACCTGCTGTTAACTACCGTTCTATTGTCCACGAGGAGCTGAAAGAAATGAAGGAGCGAGACAAACGCAAACAATCTGTGATTATCAAAGGGCTAAAGGCAACCTCTGGTAGTGACCTTGCTGTAAAGTTTGAACAACTGACAGAGCAGCAGATGGGCAGAAAGGTCAGTCTCTGACATTTCTGCCATCTCAGGTCACACCGGTATCTACCGAGCAAAAATCACTGATGATGAACTCCGCAGGACTGTGCTGGAGAAGGCAAAAACCTTACGGAACACAGAGTACAATGACGTTTATACTCCAGAGATCTCACATATGCCCAAAGGGCAGAACTTTTTGCCCGTCGGAAGGCCAGGCGGGAGGAGCTTGCACAGACCCAGGATCCAGCCGGGGATGGTCCCCAGAATAGAACTGGCCCCCGGCCCTCTGCTTCTGGGGGAGCTCCCCCACAAGATGCTCAGGGAAACTAGTGCCCATCCCAGACTGTACTGGCAACCTTCAAAATACTAGTGTTATGAAGTTTATGTTGACAAACATCAATGGGTTGCCATCAAAATTCAACTTGCTTAGGGAAAATACCACAAAGCATAGTTGGGACATTATTTGTGTTACAGAGACCCATCTGCTTCCTCATCTTCTCAGTTCCATTGTTGAACTTCCTGAGTACTCACTCATTCGTCATGATACAAGTGGGCATGTATATAAGCATGGGGTATGCTGCTATATTCATAATAAACATACCTTTGACACAGTGTCTCATCCCCTTGCAAATGTTCTTTCCTTTCGTATTACTTTACTGAATATCTATGTACTAATTGTGTACAGAGCCCCATCAAATTCGATGGAATCAAACCAAGTGCTAAATGAGTACATTCTTAACTTCTGTAGCGGCAAAGAGGTCATCTTGTTAGGCGATTTTAACTTACCTGCAGTTGATTGGTCCAGCCTGTCTCTCCACTGTCCCCCCCTCGAACAAATGTTCCTCAACACTTGTCTCTCCCTTGGCCTCCACCAGTGGGTTACCGAAGCAACCTATCCCAGGTCGGGCAATATCCTCGACTTAGTCCTCACCACTGAGCCTGATCGGATTGGATCCATCAGTGTGATGGCTCCTCTACCAGGCTGTGATCATTGCCCAGTGTCCTTTGACTACATATTTGACAGCGCTGCCTTAGCTGATACGATGCCACAAACTCAGTTGCCTAACCAGAGAGATTGGCACAAAGGAAAGTTTAGATTAGCCAACCAACTGTTGAGCGAAGTCAACTGGGACTTCGAACTGGCTTACTGTGATGTTGATGCATCCTACAATAAATTTTCCATGATCCTCAAGCAGGTGACAACTGAATGTGTCCCTCTTAAATCCCCAAGAACCTGTACGCCACCTTGGTCTACCAGACCTCCTACTAGCCTTATTAACCGGAGACATCTTGCTTGGTCTAAGTATAAGTCGGCTAGGAAGCAGCTTGGCCGCCACTCTGGACTGGCCCGTAGTAGCTATGCCACTTTTGCCAATCTTAACCAGCAGTGCAAAACATATGCAGTCAAAGCCCAAGCTCAGTATGAAGAAAGTCTTATCCTGAGATCCCAGGATCACCCGAAGCTCCTTCACTCCTACCTTCGAAAGAAAAAGACAGGCCGACCCACTGTGGGCCCACTCACCTTGCAATCGGGCCAACTCATTGACGACCCTAAATCCATGGCAGACCAATTTGCAGACTGTTTCTCCTCTGTGTATAGTAGGTCCGTCCCAAGGCATCCACATCCTCACCAGCAATCAGATGGATTGCTTGAAAACATCACCTTGACTCAGGACCAAGTTCTTCAAGGTCTTCTCCACCTTGATGGCAGTTCATCCATGGGGCCCGATGAAATCCACCCCCTTCTCCTGAAGAACTGTGCCACTCACCTAGCATACCCTCTGACTCTCATACTCAACCGATCCCTCCAGAATGGGTCCTTGCCATCTGCCTGGAAAACCTCTCTGGTTGTACCTATATTTAAGAAAGGGGCGAGATACAACCCTCTCAACTACCGCCCTATAAGCCTTACGTCTGTTCCATCCAAGCTAATGGAGAGGATAGTTTGTAAAGAATTAATGTCCTACCTCGAATCCCAAGAACTTCTGAACCCTCACCAGTTTGGCTTTAGATCAGGTAGATCTACTGTTGATCAGCTTCTCCTGGTTTATGACATGGTGTCAAGACAGACTGATTTAGGTGCAGTTAATGATGTGATTCTATTTGATTTTAGCAAAGCGTTTGATGTGGTGGTGCACGACCTTATTATCGATAAGCTGTTCAGCCTTGGGATTCGCAGTAGATTACTAGAGTGGATAACCTCCTTTCTTAAAGATCGAGTTATGAAAGTGTGTATCAAGGGCCAATCAAGTCAGCCTAAAGCAGTGCTGAGTGGTGTCCCACAGGGATCTGTTCTTGGACCCATCCTTTTTCTTATTTATATTAACAGCATTGCATCCCAGCTAAAGAGCAACTACAAACTGTTTGCCGACGATTTAAAAATCTATTCTTGTACAGACTCCAATGGTCGATCAGATGTAAATGTTCTTGCATGCCAAGACGTACAGGAAGACATTAACATTCTTCATGCAACAGCCTTGTCTTGGGGTCTTAACTTTAATGCAGATAAGTGTGTAGCACTCCGTTTTGCTAGATCTTCTCCAGGACTGGACCAACCCTCATACTTTCTAGACGGAAAACGGATACCAGTAGAAGTCAAGGCAAAGGACTTGGGTGTTCTTGTCGATGTCAAGCTTAAATTTCACGATCATATACAGGCTACCGTCCATAAGGCAGGGGGGATGGCTGAAAGTCTTTTAAAATCCACAGTTTGTCGATCCGCTAACTTTATGCTTTTTCTATTTTTGTCTCATATCCGACCGATTCTTGAATATGCGTCATGCTTGTGGAACACTGGGTATGTGCAAGATCTTCGTGCGCTTGAAGGAGTCCAACGAAGGTGGACAAAACATATTGACGGCATGGCGGGCCTTGACTATGGAACACGCCTAAAAAAGTTGGAACTATATTCAGTGTATGGTAGGCTTCTGCGGGCTGACCTGATCCTGTATTGGAAAATATTTAATGCTCAGTCCTGCATCCACCCCAATGACTTATTTCACACACCTCCATGCTCTAGAACCAGGGGCCATCGTCATAAGATACATATTCCCTCCACTGTCACTGATACCCGGAAGCGATTTTTCTCTGTCCGATGTATTCCGCTATGGAACTCTTTACCGCCGGATGCCGTTTGCGCACCCAATCTCAGAGCGTTCAAGCGTGCAATAAACACTCATTTGCAAAATGAACTATATAAGTTCATAGAATAGGTATGCACTGTATTATCCGTGTATTATCTCACAGCGCTCAAACGTGCAGTAGACTTTCACAGAATGAACTCTATGAGCATGGAAACAGGTGTACACTGTATTATCTTATATATACTTATCGGAAATTCTTATCGATTCTAGCAAAACTTGTTAGCACTGTGTAACCTGTTAGGCGCATGATTCCAGTCAAGTCTTGCACGACATTACCATATGACTGGCTTAATTTTTGGCTGGCGCGTCTTATATGTGTAGGGTTCTGTCTATCCTCTAGCCTATCCTTCCCTGCCTATTTACAGACTTGATGGAACCCAATGAGGTAAGAGCATGAGGTAAGAGCACACTCTTGACATTGGCAAATGGCAGGGCTGGCAAAGGGTCAAGTCACATGTGTTTTAGTGAAAGAGACAACTGTGAAAGAAGCTATGCATGCGAAAACATCTTGCTTTAAAAATAATTTATTTAGGTACTGACATAACAGGATGCCACTTCGAGGTTTTACAAGTGATCGAAAGTGATGTTAACATTTCATTTGTCAGATGAAGATAAAAGAATGTGTGGATGCAGGATGGGTGGTGTTTCACCAGTGATAGCAGCACTCTGCTATTCCATTTCGCGAGCTGACGACACACCTGTGGTAGTGACTAGTGTTGGAGCAATGGGCTTGTTGACATCTCCATGGAAACCCAATTTCACATGTGTAATAGCAGCGTGCTGCTTTCATCAATGAAACACCACCATGGAATGTGGATACGCAACACCGAAGATCTAAAAGGTAAAATACTTAAATCAAAGAGGGATCGAGACAGGTGTAGGACACCTCAAAGCAGGCAGCTTCTATTACTATTAGCAAGTTAGGTAACTCCTGGATGACAATCAAACAAAAATTATAGAGCCCCTCAAAAAGAATGCACACAAACACCCATGCACCAAATATCGCCCAGTCTTGCCTAAGAGCAAAGAACAACGCCCTAAACCCACGAAGGAAACCACACAAACAACACGCATTGGGTGATAAACCAAAGTCAAGGATCCAAATAAAGATGTGTAAAGTTTTTGAGGAGCTCAGGAATTTGGACCAAGCGTTTTACTGCAAATGACGTAATTATTTATAACCTTACTTTTATTGCATCGATTTCTTTGAGTTGTACCACAACACCCCAATAATTATAATAAATAATAAATTATAAATGAAAAACTATCCATATTTAGTATATAAAACAAACAAAATTAAATTGACACAATTTTTGAAAATGTCCAATCGTCTGAAACTATGCGGAGGCAATCGCGACTTATTTGGGTTATTGATCACTACAAACAAAATTCGAATTTCATTTCAATTTGATTTTGGTTTGGATTCCAATTCGGTTTGAATTTCGAGCGCGTGTTTCTCGTGGTAGTTTTGCAGTTTTGTGCATTTTCTTATGTGCAATTAGTGCCCTGATGTGCAAGATGGTGGATAAATGGAACAATGAAGTGAATGTAATTCAAATTGCTTAGGTGGGTATGTTGTATGCTTGCACTTTGCACCATTTCAATTTGTTAACTGCTGGCAAAGAAATAAAAACAACTCAAAATAAGCAAGAAATGGAGCGGACTCATAGCTAAATTGGACCCATCTTATTTATCCCTGTGAAATGCTAATATGTGTCAAGATTGTGTTTGATCATTAATCGTTAGTCTTAAAGCAGGTGTCACACTTCAACTTGTTTTTTGCAACCAAGGAGAGGTGCTATAGGTACACAGAGATGCTTTCTTATCAAACCAACCCAAACCTAACCAAGCCTGATGGTTTATCTAGCCTTGACTTGACCTAACCTTACCTACAACCTACAAAACCTGCCACCTAGGTATCACCTAAAACTTAAACCTACCAGCCAAAATCTAAAATCTACAATCCAACCTAAAGTGCCTCTCCTTGGTTGCAAAAGCAAGTGTGATGCCTGTTTAACTTATACCCATTAATCAATATAATTCAGTAGGTACATTCTTACTAATGACAATTACTGATGTCTGGCAATGTAGTGAGGTAGGTACCTACCTACCCAGGCAACTACCTATTTAAACTACCTAACTACCTACCTATTTTAATCTCTTGGAAGTTGAGCTTTTGGGCACAATCATTCAAGAGCAGCTGATTCTAAGAACTCACTTGCTGGCTCTTGTCTCTTGATGTTTACCTTGGTTAAATATTGCACAAATAACCTTTTTCATAATTTGATCAAGTATTAATTTGCCCTTCATCAATAAACTAATTTCTTGATTATTGCTGTTCTGTCCGAACAAAGTCCATATTAGAACGATGGCGCGAGACAAAAGGCGCATGAAAAATGAAATGTGTTACACTGATGAAAAATGTGAAGAAATGATAACTGGGGAAAAAGGAATTTGAAATTTGGCTCAAAACTTGGTTCATTGTGGTATTGTTATTGCTTTGGCTCGACGAATGAATGAAATGTTTGCTTGCGTTTCCGTTTTTTCTTGATTGGAAAGATCCGGCACTTTTGTTTAATGTTGCAGACACAACATTATGGTCCTCCGGGCCGGATCCAGAATTAACGTAACGCACTTAAGCATTTGAACTCAGAACTTGCATCAGTATTTAGATTTTGAAACATATGCGCATAACGCTGTAACGAACTATCGTAACCAATGCAGAACTATTATTTTAAGGTTTGAGGACTTTTAACGAGTTTCATATTTTCGTAACGTAAAAATGAGCGGAGATACGAGTACGTCGGAGGCCAGCCTGAAGACGAGGAGTGAGGCTGGAACCAGCACCTCAACAGCCAGTGCCAAGCGCAGGAAGGCTCAGGTGTCCCAGTTAAAGGCGCTGCAGGCCAGACGAGCGGCTGATGAAGCTGAACGAGCGCTGGAGTCACGAAGACGGGCGGCCACCGCTGCCGCCGCCGCTGCTGAGGCTGAGGCCCAACTCGTGATACAGGAGGCCCGGGCAGAGGCTCAGAGGGCTGCTGACGCCGCCGAAATCGATGCTTTAGAATTGCGGCTCATGGAAGACGACGATTTGAAGTCCCAGTCCCCGAACGATTTGGTATTTGAAGATAGAGACAGAGAGGGAAATGGAGCGCCGGCAGACCCTAGGCCGCCCTCCGGTGTCATATCAAGACACGGTCAGATGCAGCAGTTAACCGATGTGAATCAGATACGATCTCAGTCCGCTGCAGGGCCCCAGCGAGCTCACCTGCCTGAACAAAATGCAAATGCTGACGCCCGGGAACGCACGGAGCGCTGGCTGAGTGAGCTGCCGTGCGGTGACGGCCAGCGCCGGACCTCATCACTGCCCAAGATAACGCTGGACGAGTTTGATGGCTCTCCACTCGAATGGCCACGGTGGAGCGGACTTTTCCGGGCTCTGGTGCATGATAACGGCGCTCTCTCAGACACCGAACGTTTGACCTACCTGCAGTCTTGTCTGACAGGCGAAGCGAGAGAAGCAGTGCGTGGGCTCTTATGTGACGGCAACATGTATGAAGAGGCACTGAAAGAGCTGGATATGCAATTTGGGGACCCTCGCGCGGTTGTAACAGCTACCCTTGATGGTGTCCTCAAGCATCACTCCATAAAGGAAAATGATGTCGAGAGCCTGATGCGGTTCTCTCGCGCCCTCCACGCCGCCGTCAGTGTTCTGTCCGCCAGAGGTTTCGAAGCTGACCTCGCTGCAGTAACAAACCTGGACCAGGTCCTAGAAAAGCTGCCAAGGTCACTGGCTTGGCAGTGGGGCCAGGTGGAGCTGAAGATGGCACCACGTCGTCCCACGCTGGGAGACGTTGACCAGTGGCTGAGACCGCTGGTGCTGGCTGGTCGCCGCGCGCTCAGTGTCTCTAGACAGCGGGAGGTGATGATGCCCAGAACGCAGCGGGTGGCTCCGGCAGAGCCAGCCGGTCGACGGAGAGGCAGCAGCCAGCGCACCACTCTGGCTACAGCGACGGCAACAGAGCCCGCTCCATGTCCGGCCTGCGATGGAGAGGCGCACAATCTGGATTGCTGTCCAGTTTTCAAAGCCATGGCGCCAGTCGACCGCCTGCAGCTCGCGCGTGACAACAGACGCTGTTATCGCTGTCTCGGCGAGTCACACTGGGCCAGCCGGTGTCGAAAGAAGTTGATCTGTGGAGAGAACGGCTGTCGTGGGAAGCATCACCCACTGCTGCATGTGCCCGATCACTCGAGTCGGCGCTCAGAGGAGCAGGATGCTCCAGCACTAGCTGCTGACCAGCCGAGAAGTGTGATGGCGACAGCCTTGGATGCAACGAGCGGGCCACGTAAAGCACTGCTGCAAGTGGTTCCCGTGAGAGTACTCGGCCCAGCTGGGAAGTTCGTCGACACGCACGCGCTGCTCGACTCGGGAGCGGACACATCATTATGCATTGAGAGCGTGCTTCGGGATCTGTTGGTGACTGGGTCGACGGAGAAGCTCACGCTCGGTAACGTTGAGGGTACCGGCATGACCCGGGCTACAATGAAGGTGTCACTGCAGGTGGCTCCGCTGTCGGCAGACGGGCAATGTGAGCCTGTAAAGGTGCCCGAAGTCTTCTCCGTTCCCCAGCTCAATATCCGGCCGCAGAGAGTCGATTGGTCAAAAAGGGCTCAGTGGAAACACCTGGAAGGCATCTCGATTCCAGACACCAACGGACGGAAGATTGAATTACTCTTAGGTGCTAATGTGCTGGAGGCGATTCTCCAGCGGGAGGCCCGAGTAGGTGGGCCAGGCCAGCCGGCAGCCATCCGGACGTATTTTGGGTGGTGTCTGACGGGCAGCGTGGCACAGCTTCTACCGGTCGGCTCCCGAGAAGTGCTGCATGTGGCCCACCGCTGTGAAGGCGAAGAGAAGCTGCAAGCTCTAGTGAGAGACTTCTGGTCTACTGAGGCTTTTGGAACAAGGTACAATATGAAGCAGCCTCGCTCTCATGAAGATCGACTGGCGGAAGAGATGATGGAGTCCACCACCAAGTGGAGAGGTGACAGGTATGAAACCGGCCTTCTGTGGAAACCTGATTGCGCCCCCCTGCCCAATGACCGTAGCATGGCCCTGCGCCGCCTCGAATCTACGGAGAAGGCGCTCCGACGAGCACCAGAAAAGGCTGCAGCTTACCGCGGCACTATGAGAGAGTATCTGGATAAAGGCTACGCCCGTCTGCTGACCGAAGAGGAACTACAGAAGCATCATCAGAGGTGCTGGTATTTGCCGCACCACGCGGTAACCAGCGCGAGCAAACCTGGTAAATTCCGGGTGGTGTTTGACGCAGCGGCGAAGTTTGCAGGCACATCTCTCAACGAGAATTTGCTAACGGGCCCAGACCTGCTGAAACAAATCCCAGGAGTGCTGCTTCGCTTCCGCCAGCAGCCAGTGGCTCTTATCGCCGATATTGAGCAGATGTTCCTGCAGGTGGCGGTCCGAGAAGAGGATCAGCCGGCACTCCGGTTCCTGTGGCGGGATCTAGAGACAGACAGACCCCCGAGCACCTATCAAATGGACCGGGTCATCTTCGGAGCTCGCTCGTCACCCGCCTCAGCGAGTTTCGTATTGAAGAAGACCGCAGAAGAGAGGGCTGAAGACACTCCCTAGGGTCGTAAAGCAGCAGCCATCGTGGTAGAAGACTTCTACATGGACGACATGGTAACTTCAGTCAACAGCCCCGCCCAGGCGAAAACTATCGTAATCGAGGTGACAAAGCTGATTTCAAGAGGCGGGTTCCAGCTGCGAAAATGGCTCAGCAATGATAAGTCTGTCCTCGCCGGAATTCCTGTGCAGGAGCGGGCTCCCAGTACAGCTGACTTAGAGAAGACACTGCCAACTGAGAAGGTGTTGGGTGTCACCTGGGATGCCGAGCAGGATGAGCTTAGCAGCACGGCGCCCAGTGAGCTGGCTAATGTGCGGCAGCCGGCAACGAAGCGAGAAATACTGCGCGTCGTGGCGTCTATTTTTGACCCACTCAGATTCACCTCGCCGTTTGTGCTTCTAGCCAAACTGCAGCTGCAAGCACTCTGGTCTTGCCAGCAGGGCTGGGATGACCCACTCACCACAGAGGAATCTGATCGATGGGCGGCATGGATGGAGGAGCTGCCCCGGCTGAGTGACACCAAGCTGCCAAGATGGTATGGCGTTCAGGAAGAAGCCCCTCTGAGAAGAGATCTCCACGTCTTCTGTGACGGATCTGAAAAGGCTTTTGGAGCCGTGGCGTACCTGCGTCACGAGTACTCAGACGGAACCATTCACTGTGCGTTTGTCATGGGCAAGTGCAGAGTCGCACCGCTCAAGAAACTATCTATCGTACGCCTGGAAACTCAGGCAGCCGTGCTGGCTGTGCGTCTGGCAGCGTCGGTTGTCCAAGAGCTCACTGAAGAGGTGCACCGAGTGGATGATTTGGAGGCGATTACGCCGAACCATCTTCTGCTCGGCCGACGGGTGACTTGTCTGCCACCTGGCGTCTTCGACAACGGCGAGTCTGCGAGCAGGAGGATCTGGCGACAAACACAAGCTCTGACAGACCAGTTCTGGACCAGATGGCTGAAGGAATATGTTCCCAGCCTGACCTGTCGCCGCAAGTGGACAAGAGACATGCGGAACTTGGCGCCCGGCGACCTGGTTTTGATCGCAGAAGATAACGTGCCGCGGGGTCAGTGGCCCCTCGGCAGAGTGATCGAAGTGATGCCCGGCCCTGACGGCCGGGTGAGGTCAGCTCGTCTGCGCGCTCGTGGTGGTACAGTGCACCGACCGGCCACCAAGATATGCCTTCTCGAGGAGGCGAGATAACTGCTGACGGTGTCCAGTGATACCGGCGTCTCACGCGCGCATGCGCGTGGAGGGGGGAGGATGTTCTGTCCGAACAAAGTCCATATTAGAACGATGGCGCGAGACAAAAGGCGCATGAAAAATGAAATGTGTTACACTGATGAAAAATGTGAAGAAATGATAACTGGGGAAAAAGGAATTTGAAATTTGGCTCAAAACTTGGTTCATTGTGGTATTGTTATTGCTTTGGCTCGACGAATGAATGAAATGTTTGCTTGCGTTTCCGTTTTTTCTTGATTGGAAAGATCCGGCACTTTTGTTTAATGTTGCAGACACAACAATTGCATTTAAATTTTAAGTGATAATCCTTAACAATGGTAGACAAGAGAATTTACATTACAACATAGGTACTTTCTCATCCTGCATCTTATCTAAGAGGAATTAGTTCAATCTGGCTTCCCAATAAGGACAGTGAAGTCGGTAATTTTAGGCAGCAAACTCACTCTTTATTCACAATAGTATGGTGTAGGAAGCCCTCTGGTCTACTGAATATTTAGATTCTGAATTGAAATATTAAGTATTCTAGTTTATATATTGCATGATTAAATTTGAATTCCTTGAACTGTGTCCCCAGTAAACATGCCGACGTCGGCCCGACGTCGGCCGACGTCGGGGTGACGTCGGCATCTCGGCATCGGCATGCCGACGTCGGCCCAATGTCGGTCCAACCTCGGCACGACGTCGGCTGGATGTCGGGTATGCCCGCATGTTCCGACGTCCAGCCGAGGTCCAGCCGACGTCGGGCCGACGTCGGACCGAGATCAATTGCTGAGGTCCAGCCGACGTCGGGGCGACGTCGGACCGACATCGGCCGCTGTTTTGACCGTTAAAATAATATAAAATGCATGTTTCACGTTTCATAAAGAGCTTCTGTATCCAAAATATCCTCAAGAAACTCAAATCTTCCTCTACGCCGCAACCCCCTGATCCGGACTGGACGGGAAACTTCATGCCATTTGGGATTGCCCGTAAGCCGAGCTCGCCCGTAGCGGGGTGCGATGAGTGCTTGGGGGCTGCTCGGCCTATCCTTTGGTCAGGCTCAGCCCCGGCAACTCACCAGGGTCGGGCCCCCGGCCCAGTTCATATAGAAAGGCCAGTCGGCAAGTGTCACTTTGCCAAAGTGCCACTTATCAAAGGGACACTTTGGGAAACGTTGGTGCAGGTGTGTAAGGGTGGCTATATGAATCCATTTGTGGGGTCGCCCTTTCCAATAAGTGTCACGTAACAGCAATGGGACTCTATATGAACTGGACCCAGGGTGCTCGCCAAGAAGACCAATGTCTCTATCCGATCATCCTTCCGGCTCTGAAATGGTCTTGTCAGACCGAAAGGGCATAACCCAACAAAACAAACTAAGTCCACTATCTGGCTGTGGATGTAGTGGTTAGCGCACTAACCTCGCGTTCAAATGACACGGGGTTCGAATCCCATCGCCAGCTGATGATTTTGGCGCGTTGTCCCAGTAAACATGCCGACGTCGGCCCCGTCGGTCCAACGACAAACGATCTCGTCAACCTCGGCAGACGACCTCGGCCCGACGCCCCGACGTCGGCTCGACGTCGGCTGGACGTCGGTACATGCGGGCGTACCCGACGTCCAGCCGATGTCGGGCCGAGGTTGAACCGACTTCGGGCCGACATCGGCATGTTTACTGGGTCCTTTATCATGCATAATATAAATGAAATAACTGAAAAATGTCACATTTATTAAAGTCACTGTCAGTGCTTTCCATTGTTTTTTAACTGAAATTTTTTCATGAATCATGATGAGGTATCACTTGTCAGACATGTTTAAGTATTGAAAATGACCTTGGTAGCCCACTGCCAAGCCAAGTGGACCTTTTTTGTCTTATGCTTTTTATCTTTTTATGTAGAAGGGCCCAAGTAAAAGCATTAAAAGCAGTTCCTGCCATTTTGTGTTAGACATGGATTACTGCTAGGTATGGTGCCATTTGAGAAGGCAAAACTAAAAAGTGGACAGAATTAGATCAAGAACTGTCTTGAAATCGAAAATTGATTTCCCTCAACCAATATATACACTAAACAAATATATTTTCAACTCAGAAGTCTATTGTATTTAATTTTTACCTCTGTGGTGTGTGCCAAAAAATGTTTTATCAATGTATTGTTATCACCCCATACCATACTAACCAAATTACTGACCTGAAGTTCCCAAAAAGACATAGGAAAAGGCATTGGGGTTCTTTAGGTTGTGGGATGAACTGGCGGATGTTTTGAAAGGGAAATGGTTTAGTTACACTCTACTCCAATGTCCTGTTCATGTTGGCAGGTGATGGACGGCACGGACGGCGGGCCGCCTGCCGCTCCGTCTCCCGGAGACGGGCTGTCCAAGGCGGCCGAGCTGACCGCAGATGTCAACCAGAACGTGGTGGGCGAGCTGCGGCGGCTCCAGCTGGCGTTCTGCCGCCTGGCGCCGCGGCCCGGCGTGGAGGCCTTCTACCGGGACGGACTGGGCTGCGACTTCTGGGCAGCGGAGCCGGCTCCGCCAGTTCCCGCCGACTCGAGTCCGTCTGCTCCGCCAGTTCCCGCCGACTCGAGTCCGTCTGCTCCGCTAGTTCCCGCCGACTCGAGTCCGTCTGCTCCGCCAGTTCCCGCCGACTCGAGTCCGTCTGCTCCGCTAGTTCCCGCCGACTCGAGTCCGTCTGCTCCGCCAGTTCCCGCCGACTCGAGTCCGTCTGCTCCGCCAGTTCCCGCCGACTCGAGTCCGTCTGTTCCGTCAGCTGCAGACGTCTCGAGTCCGTCTGCCCTGCCAGTTGCAGACGTCTCGGGTCCGGCTGTCCCGCCAGCTGACTCCGCCGACCCGGGTGAGCCGGCGCCGCGACAGCTGCCAGGCCAGAGCCGTCCCCCGGGCAGCTCCAGTCCCGCCCGAGACACCGCCCGGCAGCCGGGCGATGGCTCGGGTGGGACGGCGGCGGCGCCGGACGCCGCTGACCTCACCGGGGACTGGCCGGCGGCACCGGCCGGTCCCAGTGAGGTGGTGGCCTCCGCCTCCGCGGGGCGTGCTGCGGCTGTCAGCAGCGGCGCCGCGGCGGCTGTGGCTGAAGCCGACACTCAGGGCGAGCCGTGCTGGGGACGACATTACCGTCTGATCGCCGTGGAGCGCTGCGACCGGACGACGGACGACGACGATGATGACATAGAGGTGCTGTACGTGCGCAGCCCGCGCGAGCCGCTGCGGACTCCGAAGCCGGAGCCGGGCCTGTGGCCGGCGGTGGGCGCCATGGCGCCGCCGGACGCCGAGGGACGACGGCCGGGCGAGCTGACGCCGGAGCCAGGTTCGAGGCGCGCCGTGGGCTGGGCCGGCGACAGCGACGGAGAGGTGCTCGACCTGAGTCCCGGCTCCTCGATCGACCGACTGAGCCTGCCGGAGCTCCGCACACCGGGCAGCCATCTACAGCTCAAAGGCGACCCAGAGACCAAAGAAGCCGCTGCGAGTGTGGCTGACTCAGGACAGGAAACACGATCTCAACCGGCCACTTCTACCGCAGGCGAGTGGCATGATGGCCAGATCTCACAATCGGAAGATGGAGTGGCCACCATTCATATCTGTGATCCGTTACCTCAGGAGGTCACCTTTAACCCCCTAAGCCTGAGGGTCGATGGCCAATTTCCTATTGAGGAGGGAGAAATCACTGACATCGCCTCCGATGGTGACTGCAGAACCACCGAGCCCACTTCCTCAGTCGGCAAGAAGCCCGCCGTGAAGACCATGGACGGAGACGACAGCAGTCAAGAGTCCATTCTGACAGGCGGGGCTTTGTCTTCTATCGACGAGCATGCCTTTGAGTATCTGCTCGGCAGTCAGGATTCGGACTCAAGCAGCCAAATGGCGTGCGCTAGCCAGTTGGATTTGTTGAAGGAGAGCTCCCAGTCAGGCAATGACTCGTCTGCGGGATCGGCGGTCTGTGGCGCCGCCGTATCCGACTCTGCCTCGTCCTACCGCAGGGGCAGGGGCCGCGGCCGCGGTCGGGGCCGCAACAAGGGTATGCGGGGCCGCGGCGGCGCTGGCCGCGGCGGCGCCAGTCGCGTTCCGCCCTCTCCTCTGGCCTCCTCCGACCAGTCGAGCCCCGGCTGCCGCAGAGGCCGACCCAGGAAGGCGGCCGCCACGGCCCCTGTCGAGAGGGTGATCAGTGGCGACCAGGAGGCGCCCGTGGTGCCGACCATCGCTGAGCGGCTGTTCCTGCGTAAGCGCACGCAGAAGGAGCGTCGCTCTCCGTCTCAGGGGCTGCCGGCGGGCCCGGCGGGGCGGTCGGCCAGTCCGGCGGGGCGGTCGGCCAGTCCGGGGGGGCGGCCGGCCAGTCCGGCACCGTCCGCGGCCGTGACGCCGTGCCGGGTGAAGGTCGAGATGCTCACACGAGACTCGGCCAAAAAGCTGTGTCGCCGACATGGTCTCAAGGTTGGTAAGTCCGTAAAAAGGTGCCTAAAGCTACGCAAGATGATAAGTCGTGCTAAAGACCGTGTAAAGTCGCTGATGACGTCGAAGTTGACCCACTCGGAGCCCGGTGTCGCGGCAGATGGAGGGGAGCCTCCTGGTGAGAAAGCAGGTACATCCGAGAGCAAGACAAAGGTACCGGAAAACAAGACAAATGATTCCGAGCCAACAGTCAAGACACCTGAAGGAAAAGCCAAGGCGTTGAAAGATGAACTATTGCTGAAAGGTGAAAAACTGTTGGCCGAAATTAAGGTGACACCTGACGACGAGACTGACGCGTTGGAAGGAAAGACAAAGACGACAAAAGAGAAAAAGATTATTAGAGATACGAGAAAAACGTCAGATGGAAAAATAATATCGACTAAGAAGTTCGAGACGGAACAGAACATCTCTGTCCACAATGGCGATGGCGACGCCAAAATGAAGCCGCCAGGAGTCACTTCAACCCAAAAAGGTGACAAGGGCAAGGGGCAGAGCTCTGCTGCTGCCAAAGTGGAGCGTTCTTCATCATCCACCGCACTGAAACCTTCGTTCGGTGAGCAGCTTGCAGCGGCTGATCAGAGCGCAGATTCACGATCGAACAAAGCCACTAGAAAACGGATCGAGGCTCCGTCCCCTGAGGCCTCTGCGGCCTCCAAGCGGACCAAAGCAACGTCGCCAAAACTCCTCTCGAAGTCATCAAAATCTTCCAAACTGACGGATCATCTGAAGATCAGACCGCTGGACAAGAAGGATGGTGTACGGAATCTGAGGATCTCAACGTCGCGGTCGGGCAGGGACGGTCGGCAGGTGAAGCTGGCGGGAGGACGCGGCGGCAGCTCCAGGGAGCTGTCCGAGCTCTGTGACGACGAGCTGAGCGACGCCTCCACCACCGGAACCCCCAGCGCCGACGAGGCCGACAAGTCCACCGACATGATGTCCATCCTCAAACGGCTGACGGCGCGCACACTGCGCGGCGACTTCAAAATCCCCAAACGCCGTCTGGCGGACAAGCCCGCGGAGCCGGAACGACCGGCGTTTGAAAACTTCACCATCACTGTACCGGACAGCGGCGGCGGCGCCAGCTCTGAGGATTCGGCGGCGGCCGATCAACGTCCGCGCCAGCCGAGTCCGGCTCCGGCGGCGACCTCTGACGGGCCGGAGACCGACAGTCAGCCTCTGCTGCCTCCGCCGCCGCCTCCCCCAGCCATACCGGAGCTGCCGCCGTCGTTACCGGAGCTGCCGGAGCTGCCGCCGCCTCCGCCTGAGCTGCCGGACTTGCCTCCTCCGCCGCCACCGGAAGAGCCAATTCCGCCGCCGCCTCCACCACCGGAAATGCCACTTCCGCCGCCGCCGCCGCCTCTGATGCTGCCGCTGCCGCCACCGGTATTGCTGCATGAGTTGCCGCTGCGGCGACCGGTCGGAGAGGGCTGCAGCGACACGACAGTGCCCGTTTGGGAGCCGTGGCAAGACCCGCCCCCAGACCCGTGGCCAGTGACCGGGGCCGAGGCGTGTGTGTCGAGCACACGGTATCCTTCATCGACAGCCACGTCAGTGGGGTACTCAGGGACGTCAGCGCCGTACCCCGCGGCGTCAGCCACGTCAGTGGGTTACTCTGGGTCGTCAGCCACGTCAGTAGGGTACTCAGGGACGTCAGCGCCGTACCCCGCGGCGTCAGCCACGTCAGTGGGTTACTCTGGGGCGTCAGCCACGTCAATGGGGTACTCTGCGACTTCAGTCACCTCTATGAGACCGCCGGCGGCCGCCGCTCCTGCCAGCGACCGTCCGAATGCGACCATGGCGAGCCGTCTGGGACACCCGGCTGGGCCACCCAGCGGTCGACTCGACCACGGGTCACGCGCCGGCACACCGGCAGTCTGGCTCCGAGAGCCGCAGGAGGCGGCGGCGGCCGCGTCCGGTCCCGAGAACGGCGCGCCGTCCACGAGCTCCCACGGCTCCGAGGAGCAGGACGAGCTCGTGGTGCTGGATGATGACGTGGAGGGCATTCCTGCAGAGCTGGAGGTGCTCAACTGCAGCGGCCTCGGCGAGGTGGTGCTCATCCCCGAGGACGTGGAGCCGCCCCCGCCGGCCGAGCGGCCCGCCTACGAGTTCCGCGAGTTTGTCAGCGACGACCCGGCCGAAAATGCCGACAACGGCGCCGCCGAGTGGGAGGTGATGCGCCGACTCTGCACGGACAGCGACCGGTACAAGTTCGTCCGGCAGCGCTGGCGCAACACCGAGATCCCCGACCCGCACCGGTGCCTGACGTACCACGGCTACCGGCGCCTGCTGGTGCGAGCCAACCTGCTGCGCATGGGTCTGGCGGGCGGCCGGTCCCGGGACCCGAGCCAGGCGCACCGTGGCCGCGGCCTGAAGCGCACCCTCTCCTCGACCAGCATGGACAGTCGGCCGGCCGGGAAGCGGCAGCGGCTGGCAGCCGGCTGCGCGTTCGTAGCCGACTGGCTGCTGGAGCAGGGCCGCACGCTGCGCACGGCCGGCCGCGTGGTGCCCTCCCTGCAGGTGGCGCGCCGGCGCATGGAGCAGGAGGCGCTCCGGTTCTGCCGACAGCTGGCCTTCAACATGCAGCTGACGCCGTCACAGCGCCAGTGGGAGATGGACATGCTGCACGAGCGGCAGCGGCGCGAGCTGCAGCTCGAGTTCGGGCCGCGCACGCGCCGCGCCGCCCACCGGCTCAACGCCGCCAAGGCCGAGACAGAGACGTTCTTCCGGTTCTACACGGGCCTGAACAACACGGACGCGGAGAACGCCTCGTGGCTGACGGAGCCGCAGCGCCGCGAGGTGCAGGAGTTCGAGGAGTTTCTCGTCGGCCAGGACCGCGTGTACGGCGAGTGTCTCGACGAGGACTTTTGATATCGAGTCCGCTACTTTGTGTTCATATACTCGGCAGCTCTAGTGCCTGTGCTAATGAGGACAACATTCGTACTAGTCTTGCGAAAATGACAGGGAAAGTGGCCTTAAAACAAAGGAATGCGAGCTTGGTAAAGAATTGCTCACTTCTGTTGCAGCATGAATTGCAGTACGTTCGGTATTTTTTTCTCAGGTTAAGTGTAATGTACCAAACTAGGAGTGTACGAGTATGTGTACTGTAAGACAATTGACAAGCCAGTTCATCTATCATATGTATTTGAAATGCAGTTGCATTGCAGAGTGATTGCGCTGCTCAGTTGGCATTTGCCTCTGTATCCACATCCAGCGGAGCCTCTCACCACTCTCCCCGTAAACATCCGCGGATTGCCAGGACGATACTCACGGTTTATGACTCGGCCGAAGTGCCTGTGTTTGGAGTGTTTACTGGCCTATGTGATTCATGTTTCTATGCGTAACTGACGTCGCCCGATGGTGGAGCGACTGGTGTATGCCATGTTGCGGCGGTGTGCAGCGCTAAAAATGCGGTCGGACGCCAGCCTGACATCGGGGACACAGTGGAACGTGCCTTCTGATCTGCCGCGGGCTGTGTATACTCGTATAGTGTACCTGTCTACTGAATCATCTAGTGTACCAGTCTACCGAGTCGTCTAGCGTACCTGTAACCAAGTGCAAAGAAGCCGGAACCGAGAACGGAGCCGGGCTATTCGAGAGCTTACCGCTGTGATGGGTTAACCACCCGGCTGTGACTGCCGCGCCCCGAGCGGCGGCTGTGTGCGGGACGAGAGGTGCCGCCAGGGAGGGGCGGCGGCGATAGGCCCGCCCTGCCGCGGGGAGTTATGTTACGCGCGGGCGCTCAGCGTCACCGGCTGTCCGACCGCGGAGCTGTGCGATGTGCACCGATCTGAAAAATGCCCGTCGTATTGAAACCGTGAGTTCCTACTGTACTTATGGCATTCCTAGTGTTGTGAAAAGCCGCAGTGGCCTGACGTCTGCGCGTTTGTGAGCCTTTATTATCCCAGCAATACATACATGTTTTCGAAGGCCGTTTTTCCGATAACTAGAGCGCGTTGGTTCGGTGTTCCGTAGAAACGAATCCAAAACAAAACTGCGGGTCATAAGATTATCGTTCCGTTGTCTGTATTTGTCACGGTGTCACGTATTACGCGATAAATAGCATTCAGTCCCACATGTCAGCATTTACAAACACCTTGCATCTAGTGTTGCGGTGGGACAAAGACGCCGATAGTCTGCCCGGCCCGGGTCAGTCGCCGGTCTGGTCTGACGCCGCTGGTGACACAGGACGCTGAGCTGCGGCCGGTAGGGTCGGCGGTTTTCTCGTTTGGTCTGGGACGGATGTGAAGGTTTGGCTGGTTGGAACCTGTGTGAAGATACGATTGTTCTGTCGTGTAGGGCAGGTGCAGTTGTCCGGCCTTGGGACATTTGACATGGGACTGATTACTGATGGCGTGGATCACTGATGGTAGGTATCACCCGGCCTACTCTGGGGCCAGTGAGGTTCCCATTCGTCTAGTTCGTCTAAGATTTGTACCGGCTGGTCTAGTTTTGGTCTGGTCTGGAAACGAAGGGATAGTCGGACAAAGTCTGGGACCAGCGGGGTAACGATCGCCTTATCTGGGACTAGCGGCCGGTGGGGGTACGACTAATGACCGTCAGATCTGGTGTGAGGCCTGTAGGATTAGACGTTTGAGTTGCCGGGGTCTGGGACTGGTGAGCTAACCCTGGTGCCGGCGGCGGGTTTCTTATAGTCTGGGATAGAAAGGGTTACGAGTCGGTTGGTCTGGGATGGGATCGGTAGGAGTGCGAGTCGTTTGGTCTGGGACTGGTGGGGTTACGACTCCGACTCGTTTGATCCGGAATCGGTAGGGCTACGAGTCCTCTGGTCTGGGATTCGTGGATTCTGGTTGGTCTTGGATCGGTGAGGTTACGAGTCGTCTGGTCTGTAATCGGTAGGGTTACGAGTCGTTTGATCTGCAATCGCGGCCTGACGGTGGAGGCCGGCGTTAATCGACCAAACTGTGGTCGGCCGACCTCCATGCGGGCTCCGACTGTACGAGAGCCGGCACGGCCGGCCGCCGGCGGGCCTGTTAAATCGATGTGCCGCGCTGTCCGGAAGTGGCTCAGCGCCGCCGGCCGGCCGACCGACCCAGTCAGACGGGCCATGGTGACGGCCGGGACAGGAATGCGGCGGACGGCACCCAGGTCAGTCAGTGGGACAGGAGCGAGTGTGGACGGGTCAGTCGGCGTGACAAGAGCGTGTGTTGACGGGTCAGTCAGCGTGTCAGGAGCGTGTGTGAACGGCACCCAGGTCAGTCATTGGGACAGGAGTGTGTGTGGACGGGTGACAAATCACAGTTCAGTGCAGTTCAGTGCATGACGGGTATGTCGTGACACAGGAGTGTCGGAAGGTCAGCCGTTGTGACAAGTGAGGACTGGTCAGCTGAGTCATGTAAGTGGGGCCAAAATTAACGGGCGACGAGCTATCTTCATCATACACATTTGTCTTACGACAGGTCAGCGCTGCCCAGAACTCTATTGAGTATCGGGTCCTCACATAGAAACGTTCTTGTAGAGTCACTAACGAACACATTGTACCATCACACAGAGTCACATATGTACCACGTGGCACAGGCACATGCGTGTATGGCATATGCATGAAAGTAGTGTTTGCTCCCGTATTAACCCGGACACTGGTGCACTGTGTGGTCGGGCAGGCGGGGCAGCGGCGCCCGCGGCCGGCCCATCGCTCTGGTGGGCGCCGTGGACTCCAGCGAGGCAGGCTCCTCGTCAGACGCCGCCGGTCAGCGGGGACCCGCTGACCAGCCCGACCCCGCCGCTGTCGCTGCCGAGAAACAGAAACGGATCAAAATCTCCTTCGATGGGTACGTCTTCAATAGCAGCTGAGGGAACCTGAGGGGAGGGATAGGGGAGAGAGGGAGGGAGGAGAGAGAGAGGGAGAGAGAGAGAGAGAGAGAGAGAGAGAGAGAGAGAGAGAGAGAGAGAGAGAGAGAGAGAGAGAGAGAGAGAGAGAGAGGGGGAGAGAGAAAGCACGCTCACTTATCACTCACTCCCGCTCCTCGGCCGTCCATTTCCCTCTGCGCCGCTCAGCCAGGGCCTGTTCGCCTGGCCGGAGTCGGTGGACAAGGCGGTCAACCTGCTCACGCTGCAGAGCAACTTCATCAGCCGGCTGCCGGACGGTCTCTACCTGCCGGCACTGGTGCTGCTCGACCTCTACGATAACCAGTTGGAGAGGCTCGGCGGCCTCCGGCACCTCGAGACACTCCGCGTTCTCGTCGTCGCCAGAAATAGGTGAGTTACGGGCGCACCAGGGAGAGGGGTAGAGGGAACAACAGCATGCAACATCGTGCGGTATCAGCATACTGCACCGGGCGACACCACACATAGCATTGGGCGAGCCTACAATCTGGTAATGCCTACAATATGGTAACTGAGAGCAAACAATGGCAATGAAACGACATTTTGCTTTGATTTTGGCCAATTTGTTTGCCAAATTTGAACTAGGATTATAATGACCGTAGTTTGCAACCCCTCAACGTCTGTTCTGTGGCCGGCAGGCTGCGCAAGATCGAGGGTCTGGAGCAGCTGGTGCACCTGGAGATCCTGGACCTGCATAGTAACTACATCACGCGCACCACCGGCCTGGAGACGCTCAGTCGTCTGCGCGTGCTGAACCTGGCCAATAACTGCGTGCGCACAGTGGGCGGCCTGGCCGGCCTGGGCAGCCTGCAGCAGCTGAACCTGCGCGGCAACTCGCTGCGCCGGCTGGTCGGCCTCGAGCAGCTGCCGCGACTCGTCAAACTCAACCTGGCGCACAACGACATACGCAGGTCGGTGAAAGGGCGGGCCGCCTCGGCACCGCGGGCTTGGGATAAACGTCTGACATGGGCACTGACGCTAACCCGCGATACAGTACACCGGACCAGGGATACAAACAAACACGGGAGTACGGGAGCGTAACGGGTTACTAGCGCAGGATACACACAGCGGAAACAGGAAGTAAGAGACACCGGACACTGAATGCAGACAAGGACCGGGTACAGACAGATATCCTACACGGGATACGCGACAATGGCAGACACTGGGCACATGACGGAGCAGACAGCGGCAATGGACGTAAATAGGTACGTAATGCTTATCAGCACCTGTCTATCACACTGCTTGCCACCCGTCTAATGCTCTATTGGTCAGGCCGGAGGACGTCGAGTGCCTGGTGAACTGCCACCAGCTGGAGGAGCTCTCGCTGAACGGCGCACCAGTAGCCGCCCACCCCGGCTACCACCCGCTCCTCTACCGACTGAAGCGGCTCAAACTGCTCGACGGGATGCACGTGAGTGGTGGGATACGGTATACGCCAAGTTGTGCCCCCCTGCTCTGATACCAGGCTGCCAACATTGGAGCTCCGCATGTCTGCTGACTTTCTATTCCCATACTGATCATTGCAATTTCAAGATGAGCGATACCAAAAACCTGTGGCTCTTCCTACCGCTGCCATTTAGCGGCCCGCTGCCGTGCGGTACAGTCTGGCCACCAGGCGCATACTACTCGTGCCATCTAGCGACCGTAACTGTAACTCGATGTCTTGCGGTACAGTCTAGAGCTTCAGGCGCCTATTACTAACGCCATCTAGCGACCGTGGCTGCAACTCGGTGTTTTGCGGTACAGTCTAACTTCAGGCGTCTATTACTAGTGCCACCTACATAGCTGCGATTTGGTGTTTTGCGGTACAGTCTAACCTCAGGCGCTTCATTAGTGCCATGTAGCGGCCGCAGCGGCAGCCCTGTGCCTTGCGTTGCAGCCTAATTTCCGGCGCCTTCTCTTGGAGTCATCTAGCGAAAGCAGTTGTAGCTGTGCTCAGCGGAACTCGGGCGCACAATAAATGCACAGACAGGTGTTGCGGTAAAGCTGCGTAAGTATGCAGCGCGGGATGCACTGTGCACTGCACTGACAGTACATACAGGTAATATTGCATCTGGAAACAATTGGTGAAGCGCCGAGCAGTGAGCACAACGGCATTAGCCATCAGGAGCAGGACTCGGCGAGGGAATGGCAGTTGTGAATGTTGCAATGACCGGGATGTCCCATCTCTAACCAAACAGGTGGAGCGGGGCCCTGAGGAGCCGGCAGTCGGGCCGGCCGGGGCATCCGAGCCGGCGCCGCCACTGGCCCGGACCGCCGCCGCTCCGGCCGGCCTGCAGCGGAGCAGCACGGAGGGCTCGCTGAGGGGCGGCCGGCGGCCGGCGCGGCCCCGCTCGCTGGACCGGCCGGCCGGCGGTGCGGCGCCGATTGTGGCGCGCGGCCGCTCCCTGTCCGCGGTCCGTCCGAGCACCGAGCGGCCGGCGGCGGTCCGGCGCCCGGCGCGCGCCCGCCGCCCCTCCAGCCGCGCCGCCCAGCCGGCCCGGCTGCCGGACCTGGTGCCGGCCTGTGAGAGGTCCGTGAGCGCCAGCGCCAGCTCCGTCAGCTCGCTGAGCGAGGAGGCGGCAGCCGCGGCACCGGGCTGCCGCTGCGGCCGGCCAGCGCCGCTCGACTCGGCCGACACGCTGCGCACCGGCGAGACAGAGCTGGAGATCAAAGACGGCTGTCTGATCGTCTCCGGAGACCGGGCACTCAGGTGAGAGAGATGCACGAAATATGCCAAATTGGGCATAATTGGCAACAAGAGTTGGGAGTTTCTCGGTCTCTAATTCACCTATGGTTGGTAACTATTGACGGGTTTCAGACCTCAGTTATGCCTAGAGTAGTGCCCACTGTCTAATCCCAAATAACACCAGTATATCGCCTTTTGGGGCGACTAACGGAGCGAGCGAGAGGGTGGGCCTTGCACGTCCGAACTTTCGAGGGGGTACCTCCAACTGACCTGTGCACGGCACCTTACTAACTGGTCTCTAGCGATGTGCCAAATTTGAGCACAATCGGCCCAGCCGTTCTCGAGAACTGGAAGCGGCACGCTGCACGTGCGCACGTGCAAAATGGGTCCCAACTGACTTGTGCACGGCACCCTACTAACTGGTCCCTAACCGTGTACCAAATTTGAGCGCCATCGGTCCAGCCGTTCTCGAGATCTGGAAACGACCCCTGCACGTGCGCACGTGCAGCAGCACCCCAACTCTGGCACATGGATATGCAGTGCCTAGTGGGTGCCTACCTACATGCCAACTTTCAGCGCAATCGGCCCAGTAGTTACCGAGATATTGCAACAATTACAAAACTGACACCTCTTCGTTTTGCACGTGGCACGTGCATAAGGGGTCACCCACATGCATCGGGAATAGTCCAATACTTGGTAGAAGGAATGAAGCTACCCTACAAAAATTACCGCGTGTAAATTGGTCAAGTGGTTGCTGAGATATAAGCCTCGCAAAAGCGTCCGCACGGCCGGCCGGCCGCTCATACTCAGAAATTTCCGTTAATCTAAGGAAAGACTACGCTCGCTTCGCTCGCTCCGTAACCAGCGGTTTGCCTCCCTTTTCAGGCTGCTGGCCACCTGGGAGCCGCGGGACGCCGGTCAGGTGCGCTGTCTGGCCTTCAGCCGGCTCGAGTTTGACCAGCTGGCGCCGCTGTTGGCCGCGCTGCGGGACCGGTTCCCGCAGGCGGCCGCGCTGCGTCTGGGCGCGGTGCGTCTCAGCACGCTGTCGCAGCTGAACGCCGTCAGCCGGCTGGGCGAGCTGCGTCAGCTGACGGTGGAGCCGGCCGGGAACCCGGTGACGCAGCAGCGCCTGTGGCGGCCGTACGCCGTCTACCGACTCCACCACCGCGGCCTGAGGCGGATCAACGACACGGCCGTCAGCGGCGAGGAGGCGGCCGCCGCCGCCGCTCAGTTCGGACCGCTCGGCCGACTCGCCTTCTGCTGCCTGCCAGAGAGCCGGCTGGTCGAGATCGCCGAGCGGCTCTGGTTCAGCGACGTCAGAACCAAAAGTGAGCAGGGGCAACCACCGGTCTAAACAGCACTGGCCACTGATAGCGTTGCTGATTCAGACCTCGTGTCCAAGTGCTTTTTCAAATAATGGTGCATACTGCATAGCCTCTTCAATTTGCTCCACACTTCCAGCCTAGCACTCAAATTTGGAGGAAACCCAACTGAGGACTGTTCTGCTCAACTTGCTCTGCGTAATCCAAGATGTGTCCCCACAGTTCACGCCGCACGCCCTCATAGCCGGAGTTCGTACAGCCTCCGCTGTGCATATCTCCACTGCTCACAATCCCCTACAGCCACCCGCGGCCCGCCGGTGACCATTGAACCGCTCTGTTGGCAGACGGTGACACCAGACCGACCGTGGAGCAGGTCCGCCGCCGGCTGGCCGACCCCCGACTCCAGGGTGTCATGGAGCGTGAAGCGCTGCTCTACAGTCCGCGGCGCACCGCCGGCCCGGTACGTTATGACGACCGGCCGGCGGTTCAGTCAGTTCTCGTGACAAGCTAGCCAGAAGAGCGCAATGAACAAGGTCCCGATATGTTGTCCCCGTGGAACTGATTCATTGGAGCGCCCATAAAGCGGCTTCCAAGTCCTGTGTGGCGGTGGGTCTCCGGTTTAACTCCTGGCCCACAATATGCTACACTGTATCACTATGACTTCCCGCCCCACCCTCCCTATTCGCCGGCAGTGTCCGTCGCTGGAGGCCCCTCTGCGGGAGGCGCAGCGCTCGGTGGCGGCGCTGCGCACCTTCCACGGCCTGCTGCCCAGCCTGCTGCGGGAGCTGAGCGGCTCCGCGCACCAGCGGCGAGCCGGCTCGGCCACGGCCGGCCACGAGACGCGCGCCCTGCTGGACCAGCTGGCCGCCTCCATCGACGGTCCCAGCTCGTGACGCTGAGCCGCGCGGCCCCGCCGTCCCAGCCCTGCCCTCAAACGGAGCGGGCGTTGCGTGCTCCAGCGATAACAGGCCAGCGCCCCGTCCCCTTAGGTGGCTCACGAGACCCGTCGCCGACCCACGCCGTGCTCCACGCCACACGCGCGGGGCTGAGGTGATTGGAAACCAACTGGGTCACCGCGACCGCCCCCTGATGTCATCGAGCGGGAGAGCTGCCGACTCCGCCCGCCGCCAGGCAGAGTTTGGGGTGAGGGGAGAGAGCGAGGGAGGGAAGGACGCCATAGACTGCCATCCAAACCAACTGTGATCATCCTCGCAAATCTATGTCAAGGAATACATGTATTTTACTTATAAATGAGTTGTGTTTGAAGCTGTTCGACACTCGTGACCAAAATTCCAGAAAATGGCGAAATGATCAATGTATTTTGAGCACACCTGAACATGGCATAACATGACTGAGGAGGACCGCGTAGTGAGATGGCATGCGTGTTATAACGCTGACCGGCGGAGATACGTACACAGTACAAGAGCAAAAGACGAAAAAATAACAATCTGCGTCGATCATTTTTTCACAAGGCGACTTTCGACATGTTTAAAGAGCAGACAAAACGGCGTCTAAGAAGCACATTATCACCAATCCTTCATCACCGTCATCACAACAGCCCGTAATCGCGTCGCTTTTGACAGAAAAGGCAACACCGTAGCCAAGGCACACAGCCTCCGTTCCGATATAGCCCCAGCTGACTGTTCGCCTGACCGATCTGACCTCAGTTATCACAACCGGACCGACCTGAGTCTCTGCTACGATCAGTCTGCCAGCGGCCGGAGGACGCGGTCTGCCAGCGTCTGCCGTTACGCTGCCTTCATGTATCTGTTCTCCGGCTGCCGTCACTCTGCCTCCATGTATCTGTTCCCCGGCTGCCGTCACTCTGCCTCCATGTCCCCACCGGCCGGCACGTACTGCTCGGCGGCCGCTCCCACCACGTCATCCTGAAACTCGGCGCCCACCGCGCACGCCAGCAGCGTCTGTATGGAGCGCTCCTCACCGGCACCGAACACGTAGCCGTTGGCCTTGTCGACAGAGCGCAGCACACGCGCCATGGTCGCCTTGTCGGACACGTTGAGCGGCACGAACGACACGAGCCCGTAGTCCTCGACCAGACCGGTCAGCTTGGCCGTCAGCCGGCGGTAGCGGCGTGTGAACGGGTCGTCGTCGAGCAGCTCGGCCAGCCGCTCCAGGTCCATCACCTGACGACCACGCCGACACGCGCCGCGTCAGGGACCGTCGGAGGAGCACAGGGACGCGTCGCTGAACATCTCTCAAGAGCAGCACGGGGGAAATAATAGCCTACTTGAGGTCGCCACGGGGAACATAGAGCCAAACGGTTCTAATGGGCCATCGATCAATAGGTCGAACGGACACTCTGGTAAAAAAAAAACTAGGAGGGAAGCTTGCACCGCTTTCAACCAACTACACCTACACAGCGAGAAAAATGTTTCAATTCATCACGCCTTTAGCATTAATTATAGCGGGAACAAGAAGTGCAGACGATTGGCTTACCTCGGTATAAAAATCCAAGCCAAAGTGCAGCTTTCCGAATTTCTCAGCCAGATCGATTTTCGACAGTACGTTGATGTGTGGCAGGGCCAGATGAAGCATCATGGCCAGGGTCGAAAGGAGCACCGAGACAAACTTTCCTGCACAGAGCCGCATACGCCGTCATCAGAGCACTGGCAGAGCTGCCAAACATACCGACTGGGCTGGACCGAGCCTGGCCCGCCAGGGCATAGTGATATAACACATTCGGCGTCGCCTGCCTGGCCTTCATTAGGCGGTAGATCGCCGCAGCCCGTCCGATGGGTTACCGATATGGATAGCCCCCTGGTCGTGTATCCCACTGCCCTGGGTCGCCGGTGTGTCCCGGGCTTGTGAGGCTGCGTCACATTGCAGCCGACGGTAGGTCACAGTCGGTCGGTCAGGATCGACTGATTACAGGCACTTCGAGCCGCCTGCCTCAGACGGTACGACGGTGAGACGGAGGGACGAGAGGCTATTATGCTACCGTCCCATGTCATGCGACAATTAAGGTTTGGCCATATCGTTATAGTTTTATGCGTTAAGTTTGTCATGTTCCCTTCACTCCATTTATCGATTTCTCGACGAACTTTAGCAATAAATTGATGGAATACACATAACAAAAAACAGCGTCAGATAGTATCAGTAGGTAAGCATTATCTAGCGACACACAGGCTGCCGTTAGAATACGCACTTACGTCTTATACGGCCTAAGTAACACTTTCACATAAGACAGCATAGATGTGTCTAGGAAAATAACATCAAAATGCTCTAAGACGGTGCATTATAATCAGATCCCTAGAATTTCGTAACTAATATACAGGCAGTTACCTCTAAATTCGAGTAAGTTATCTAAGTCAGCCCTCAAATTGTCTCTTTACCTATCTTACATGCCTGGCAGAGTTATTCTTCTCGCATTGACTGTCGAAATGTCGTTCGAAATGTTGGCGCCGCAATGTCGTTCATTGACTTCTGTAACCAAATATGCGCTCCCTTTGATATCACCACCGACCGACCTGGATCGCTGCAGTAGTGCGAGTACAACCCATGACCCCCGGGGCCAGCAGCCAGCCAACCGACCTGGGTCGCTGCAGTAGTGCGAGTCCACCCCCACCCTTCAACGATCCCCCTCGACCGACCTGGGTCGCTGCAGTAGTGCGAGTCCACCAGGTTGACGGCCGTCAGACGGAAGTTGGCCTTCTCCAGCCGGCGGAGGATGCGCGGCACGGCCGCGTTGTGGGTGTACAGCTCCACCTGGTGGGCCAGGGGGAAGCTCAATGCAGACGGCCGGTAGCCTAGCGTTGCCATAGACCGAAGCCTTCAAGCATGGTTCTGACTGATGCCCAACGTTCGCATCAGACGCCCAAGTATTGCAATACGCGTCCTGCCTTGACACTACAGTCGGCGCTACTGCCAGGATCACCGCTATTACGTAATGCTCATAACATAAACCTTCCCCTTACCGGCCCCCAGTACATGGACAGACTCCTGAAGAGCCAATTGGATTCTACAGACAACCCGCGACCCGCGCCCTGTAGCGCAGCTCCTACCCACCTGTCCGGGGAAGTCGAACAGGATGTACTTGTCTCCTAGGGCGGCGAGCCGCTGCAGCAACCAGTCCATGTTCTTCTCCAGGTACTCGAGGCAGTAGAGCAGGGCGCCGTTGGGGCCGAGGCGCAGCTCGCGCATCACATCCTCCACGGTAACCAGCTCGGCCAGGTCGAGGTCGGCCGTGAACGGCAGCGTCTCGTTGGCCGGGTCCAGGTTGACGAGCGCCACGGTCCGACCGGTGCCGCGCAGCAGCTCGGCCATGCCGGCGCAGTAGGTGGTTTTCCCGGAGCCGGGCGGGCCGACCACCACCTGACCGAACCGCACCGGCGACACGGCCGCCATCTGACGAGGACGCGCGGGTCAGGGAGGCTGACACCGAGGCTACATGACAGGTATTGGGCCTCACACGGCCGCATCTGCCGGGGACGCGGGGGTCAGGGCACTGAGGGGCTCAGCTGGCTGCTGAGGCACCTGATACACCGTAGATTGACACAGACATCAGGGAACCGACACACTGTCTGAGGGACCAACAGCTAGGAGTCTAAGGGATGCACAACAGGCTGCCAGAGGTGCTGACGGCTGAGGAGCATAGCATACACCGTTTGCCGCATAAGCCAGACACGTCATAGTCCGATATAATTTAAAGCAAAAATTACGATACATTATAATGTTTTGTTCTTGTGTTCTTTTACCATCTAGTTACCATTCCAGCATCCGTTACTTTTTGAAAAATTGACTGCAACGGTCACACCGAAGAAAGATTAGGTAAAATTATATGTTCTTTTTTAACTCCCCGGCGAAAAGGAGGCGTTAAAAGTAAACTATCAACCATAACCTAAATACGTTGAAGTTCCCTTCTTGGCTCTTCACTACACAAATGCGCGCTGGCGTCGTTCCCGGACCGTACCTTTCTACCGACCGGTCTCCTGACTGTTTTCCTTCACCACGGGAACAATCTTCTTCAGCAGCGCCGGCGTGAGCTGCCGCAGCGCCAGCGTCACGATCAGCTGTTTGCGCGTGGCCAGCTGTTCGGCGAGAAAGCGGGCGGCGGCTCGGACCGACTCCGAGTCCTCCCCGAGTAGCACCCTGGGGAGCGAGGGTGGGAGTCAGAGGACACCAGTCACGTCCTCCACAGCGTCGGCGTCAGGGGAGCAGACAGATTCAGCTACACGAGTCCACAGCGTCATCAGTCACTGGGACCGGTATTTGGGGTAGCTGCGGCCTCAGACAGTCGTAAATCAAGGAGCGTTAGTGCTGTCAGAGGCTTATGCCATACGACAAACCACACCAATCTAATACTGAGCGGTCACTCACCATTCACAGTGGTAATAGGCCGGAACAGAAATGCGAATCACACGGCACAAAACATTTGATAATAATCGCCAGCTGATAAAATGACGGTGGCCTCCAGTTGGTTTGTCAAACATCAGATCAAGAGGAAAGAAAAACAGTCTGAAACGTTTAAAAACACTCAAGTTTCACAGTTGTACAGCGCTGACATGCATACGACTTGGAGCAATGGTATGCTTTCAAATAAAAGAAGCACTTATTTTGCGTGAATAATTACCGTGTGTTGTAAATCTTGTTGGGGCCTTCCACGACCTTCGATGACTCGATCTCCACCTGAACGATAGTGCCCAGTTTCTGGTACTCGGTGATGCACAGAAAGTCCGTCTCGCTGGAAATTCGTTACAACCGTTGAAATAGACGACATTGACTGTACAACGCATACTACGTTACGTATGCGTTGCACTATACGTAACTAGCAGTGCACCTTATAAGCAAAACATGTCTAATTCAGGCTCTATCGAGGGCAAACACTACCGTAACGGGTGCTTTTTGCAATGAAGCCGAACTATTATTACGATAAACGCACAATCAAGACCATTTACCATACAAAGACTGTCTCAGACAGACATTCGCTGTTTCAAGCCTTCATGACAATCTCATTTTACCAAGGAGATTGTGCAATGTACATTGCACATATCGTTGTCAGCGGTGCTATCCCCCGTGCACCCGGCGGTGCCCCGCACCACACTCACCCAAACACAGCGGCGGCGAAGTCGATGTGCTGGCCGTCAACGAGCGCGGCGAACACCTTAGACGAGCACGGAGCGGATACGACAGGAGCGGATCGCACTGCGTCCCGATCCTCCAGCAGGGACATGGCGCGTTGGCACGCCGGACCTGGGGGCGGCGGCAGAGCACGTGACGTCAGTGTCACACGGGGCGGGCTCCAGGGCACTTCACAACACCCGCAGCGCTGTAAAACAGCGTTTTCTTTAGCGTTACCTTCCTAATCCACCTACCCCGGCGCTGTCAGACCTCAGTCAACATTAGCTGACTCGTCATACCGTCAGCTGGACTCTCTGAGACGAGACCTGGCCATCCCGTCTCACAGCCCAGGAACCTGGCTCAGAGCTGGCCACCCGCCTCACAGCCCACTGACCTATTAGTGCGTCTCGCAGCCCAGTGACCACTGACCTGACCTGATCGTCTAATACCCCATTGAAATATCCGTCCGTCCCACAGCCCACTGACCTATTAGTCCGTCCCACAGCCCACTGACCTATTAGTCCGTCTCACAGCCCACTGACCTGGCTCAGAGCTGACCGCTCATCTCACAGCCCACTGACCTGGCTCAGAGCTGACCGCTCATCTCACAGCCCACTGACCTGGCTCAGAGCTGACTGTCGCCGGCCGGCAGCCGGACTCGCATGCTGATCACGTCGCTGGTACGCAGCGTGGCGTGCTCGTGGTGTGCCAGCGGCGTGCGCAGCTCGGCCACGTGCAGGTGCAGTCCGTCTCGGTCGCAGGCCGCCAGACGACCATGCACCACGCCGCCCTCCTGCAGTCCGAACTCTGCCTCACGGCCTGCCCACAGCCACAGCAGCGCCGGGCGCCAGTGACGGTGGTGAGCCCGGACACACACAAAACACCCACAAAACCAACGAGGGCGATCAGCTTAGACACAAAACTGCCCATGAACTTTATTATAGCTGCTTTACCGCTGCTATAAGCTGCTACATGGTTACAATAAACACATTTCCTTAAACACTTACTGTAGCACTCCAACACTGACACGCTGTGAATTTAAATAAAAATGATAAAAATAAGCTATAAGATGAATCTGCTTTGTAATGACTGCAATATTGTATGACCTCAAACAGGTGAAGAGCTCATAGTCACAAAGGTATCGCTTCTTAAGATTTGAAAAATATTTGTCTTGCACAGAAACATCCTGATCCCACAAAATACTAACCTTTCAGAGAAGATATGACCTCTAGGAATGATAGGCGAAGCTTAGCCCTTGCTTCTTGAACCAATGATTCACAATATGTGCTGTCTTGAGTCTTGTTCATCAGAAAAACAACAGACCTGTGATAAATGAGAATGCTGTAAGTATTAAGTGACATCACATGTTCAGTCCAGGAATGCAAACAGTGGGTGATAACCTAACCCTCACTTTTATGAGGGGAAGCAGATGCCTGATACAGTGTTCACTGTTCTAACATTGGATTTTGGTGAAGTGTTAATGAAGAAATCTGAAAGATATGACAGATATGACAGGAAGATATGACAGGATCTGAAAGAACAGGCTGTGAATGCATCAAATATCAAGTAATACGAAGCCGAATAAGTTGTGTAACCTGGCTGTTTGAATGCATGTACCATCTTTTTGAAGAAGACGATTTACCTGGCTGCGTCGAGAGCACATACAAGCTCTTCGCTGATCATGCGTAACGAAGGTGTATGTCGGAGCCGGCACCGAGATTGGCCGCAGGAAGCTCCAGCAGCATTTGGACGCCCTGGCGGCCTGGTCTCGCAGGTGGAATCTTCCATTCAATCCATCCAAGTGTACAGTGCTTCACCTGAGCAGCCAAAACGTGCGGGCGGAGTACACAATCGAGGGCGCTGCATTGACGACTGTTGACATAGAAAGAGACCTGGGAGTCCAGATGGACAGACTACTTAAATTCAGGGAGCAGGCGGCGACCGCCGTTGGCAAGGCCAACAGAATCCTTGGCCTAATCAAGCACAGCTTCGTCCACATCGAATCCAGGACACTTCCCCTGCTGTACCAGACGATAATTCGCCCGCACCTCGAGTACTGCAACCAAGTCTCGGGCCCGTTCAACGCGGCCGACGTGAGGCTAGTGGAGCGGGTCCAACGATGGGCTACGCGCTTTGTCCCTGAACGTCGGCAGCTGCCCTACGAGAAACGGCTGAAGAGCCTGAAACTTCCCTCCCTCCAGCACCGCCGTCGACGTGGAGACATGATAACCATGTTCAACATCATGCACGGACGCTCCGGCCTGGACAAGGACGACTTTGTCTCGCCCGCCCCGAGTACACGCACCCGCGGCCACCGACTGAAGGTCGCCAAGAAGCCAGCGGTCAGCCGCGTCCGGCGCAACCATTTTGCCACCCGGGTTGTGTCGGACTGGAACGCCCTACCAGAAGAAATTGTCTGCTCGCCATCGACAAATGTTTTTAAGAACCGGCTGGACAAGCACTGGACAAACTATGCCTTCATCGCTCCACAATAGAGAAGACTGCTGATGCTACCCAAGCTCTCTATGACGGATCCACCAGGCAATCCTAGTGCCTTCAATGACCCCCAAATATCAGGCATCAGGCATGAAATAAGGCCACTTTTCTGATTTTAGGGATGAATTTTTTGTATCCATATACAAAAGGTCTGATCACCTAGATAACTGATTATAAAAAGCAAATCAGATGTTAGATTTTGACCTCCAGATTTCATATATGAAAGTAGTTCATGCCATGCTGCAATCAAGTATCCTGTAATTCCTGTATCAAAGCACCTGCACTCCATATGCCATTAGCCATAGGTATTGAATGGACAAACTCCAAAATTAAATGAAAACGCATTACAGATGTTATTCCATTGTGTTATGAATGTGAGGTCACAAGAATAAACAGGAAAACACATTATATACACATATATGATACACATAATAATACACATGATACAAATAATAAATGACAAATCACATCAGACATACTAATGCGAACTGTATGGCAATGTAATGCCCCATGGCCCATGCCTGAAAAAGTACATAGCAATAAGCATTGCAATATCCTAGGAGAGATTTCAGATTAACCCACGCCCTGATGGGGTCTGCCGAGCAACGCGGTCTGATGGGGGGGATTTTGCCCCCCCCCTAAGATCTCGAGAACCACGCAACATAGCGACAAGCGGCAAACGGCGTTGGATAGCCCCAACAGGGAACTACCTTGTGACCCAATTTCATTGACCTCGGTCTAACCGATGACGTCACAGGTCAGGTCAAAGGTCGAATTTTCACCGTTTATAGGCATTTCAAGAAATGCGTTGTAAAATCGAGTAAAATGCATTTCATTGAAAATCTTCGGTGGGAAAATGTTCGTCAAACACACATTTTGCTATTTGAGGTCACTGATACCAGGTCAGGTCACAACGGTCAGGTCAATGAGGGTCACAATATATAAAGATCATGTGATGCATGTTTTATGGTCCATTTTATCTGCCCAATGAGATTATGTGGGACAGGCAGCCTTTGGAGTTTGGGGTCAGTTGAGATTATGTTTTGGTGAAGGTCAGGTCAAGGTCAGGTCAAGGTTAGGTCAAATTAGGTCAAATTTCAAAGTTGATATTTTTGCATAAAATGGGTATCGATTCCATGCACCTCGTCACGGGGAGTTCAATGGTGGTCTTTGTTTTGCGCTACCGTAGTTTCGTGCAACTCTGACCACCAAGGGCAACTTTGGCCCACTCCTGGAAAACTAATTTGTTTTGCTGTAGCGTTTTACACTTAGGGAAAGTGGGGCAAGACGATCAGGGTGGGCATCCCTGACCGTTTAGCTCCAATTTCCCCTAAGCATAAAATGTTACAGCAAAATAAATTAGTTCTCCAGGCGTGGGCCAAAGTAGCCCTTGTTGGTCAAAGTTGCACGAAACTACGGTACGTGGTCTAGAATTGCTAAAAATTAAGTTAAAAAATTGCAGTCATCAATTTTGAAGCTTTTTTCACTATAGCTTGGCAAAAAAATATCTATCTAAAATTTGTTATGTATATCAAAGAGCGCAGGGACTACCACATGTATTCCTTTTTTTATTCGAAAAAATGGAAATTCTGTGAGTTTTTCTTTAAAAAATCGTTTTTTATTTTTGGGGGTGAAAGAGATAGCAGTTTTGTAGTGTTGTCTTTTCTCTACCAACGACAAAAAGAACTTTAAAATTGCTTGTTAATTGTAGATTTGGTGAGCGTTTCAAGATGTCATGTTTTTTGCTTATTTTTACTCAACATGACCTCAGTTTGATGTCAATAACTCCTGACCCAAGGTGACCTGTGGCTCAAAATTTTGTGTGAAGGTGTCAAATTGATGCCCGAGAAGGTATTGAAAATTTGAAAATGGTACTGAAAACGGCGGCACTGCACGCCACCGTTTTCTTGCTATTTAAGAAAATCCACAGGGAAGGCAAAATGGCCCCCCATCAGGGCACGGGTTAAGACCACTTAACCTAAAATATTTGATTGGCTGTTGCCTGCAATGTACTCCTTAAAGTGACTATTTTGTTATCCCCAGTAAGTAAACAGTGAACACCAGGTTAGCTTGGGTTAGATCAAGTTAGGTAATAGGTTAGGCTCTAACTTCTAGCTTTCTACTTCTTAAGTCAGTCCTATTCAGACTAGATGGTATGTCTAACCTGAACCATTCCTCTTGTTTTTTGCAAAAATTTAGGTAATGATTCATATTTCTTTTAAATGTCAAAATAATAAAATTCAGTGATTTTCACTTTTCAAATAGGCCTTAAGCCCAAACAGAACTTGCACAAGATTATTTTTTATCACTGGAAATGTCAGGAAGTGGGTATGTTTCCTCAATATGGCAATTGGCAGTGCTGCGAGTAATGTTTTTCTAGTGTCATATTCTGATTCACTCATCCATCACTGCAGAGTGCAGTGTGCTGTGACCAACCAAGCACCAAGGGATTATAGCTTGGTGTTTTCATTTTTTCAAACATTTCCGCCACATGTTAGTATCATAATTGGATTCAGGATGTCAAATAGTGTAAGAATATGCAAAATTTTTGTTTGAGAATGGATCACGCTCTTTATAAGCATTGCCGCTAAATCCTCACACTTGAAAGAATACCATAAAATTCATACATCAATCGAAAGAGGATTTCATTACAAACATCTGACAATTATCGGGGTTACATGAGCACAGTAAATACGTATTTAGCCGCTAATTCGAATTAGGAACGCATTACCGACTCATGTAGCCACCTGCTAGTACGAATCGGCGATCCGATCCGCGGTTACATGAGCAAAGCAAATACGTATCACGATCGGATTCACCGCTAATGCGAATCAGGAGCGTACTACCGACTCATGTATCCACCTGCTAATACGAATCGGCGGTCCGAACAAAATCCGCTGGGAAAGAGGCTTAGTAGCGAATAGGACCAAGATACGTATTACAGGAACTATTTCTTCGCAAAAAGAAACATTAAAATGCAAAATAATAGGTAATTTTTTTCATTTTCTTCTTTTGAAATAATATTTAAAAAATATGTCGGTATTTTGATAAGTTTTCAACAATAAATATAGTGAAAACCAAATAGTAAATATCCACATAGTTTCAGTTGAAACATTTTTCTGACAGCACTACAGACGAATCAAGAGAGGCAATTGCCCAATGAGTCAAAGCAAGACAACTTTTTGTTCAACTTTTTTTTGTTAAGTTAATTGAGAATGTTTTGAGCAGATTAAATGCAAAAAAGACATAAGATAATAAATTTTTAATTTAGTCACCTCTATTGCTACGGAAGTGCGCCACATTTGTATGCTATTCCGTTTGTAATGCGCATCGGGCCGAGAGCCAAACTAGATCCGTTTGACGTCACTGATACGAATTTGCTCATGTAGTCGGTGCACTGAATGCGTTCTTGGGGAGCTGATGCGAATTAGCGTAGTGCGTATTTGGAACGGATCGCTCATGTAACCGAAACGTCCGAGGCACACGATTCGGGCCGTATTTCACAAGAACTATTTTTTGCTGACTGGAAGCGTCAAAATGCAAAATACTAAGCATTTTTTTTTATTGGCTGCCTCGTAGAAAATAGCAAAAAAATGTTGGTATTTTGGTTTAGTCTTTGCATGTGAAATAAAATGAATGAAATATTTTGATAGATAATTTTTTCTGACCACCCTGCTGTCGCTGCATGGCGAATCAGTGCCAACTGACTTAAAACAAGAAAACTTTGTTTTCATTTTTTGATTTCATGTTAATTTTAAATGGTTTTGAGCCTATCAAATGATATAAGTATTTAAAATTTAGCTCAGTCGTCCCGGTAAATGCCGCAACTGCGCCATGACTGTACGCTAATCCTATTCCGTTTGTGATGCGAATTACCGGCCGTCGAGGAGTCAGCCCGGGTGAGCCAAACAAGATCCGTTTGACGTAGATAAAACGAATTAGTCTCATGTAACCGGTGCCGTAGATACGTTTGTGGGGAGCTGATGCGCATTAGCGTAGTGCGTATTTGGAACGGATCGCTCATGTAACCCCGGTAAATGGCACAAAAGCAAGTTAATTGAACAAAACTCGCCAAAAATCCTTAAGAGTAGGTACCGACACCGACACTCTTTTTTTTTTTTTTTTGCTCGGTCGGCCTAGTGCCATACCCGAGCAGGGGGCAGTTACTCCGGCAATTTTCGCCGGGCAGCAAGTCTTACGTTAAACCGGTTTATGTGAACCCGGTAGCAAAAACAACGTGGGATCCTATCTTAATGTGGAATCAAAGCTAAGGGAGGTACTTACGTGTATAGCCAAAGAGCCGAGATGTCTGGAGTCGCAAACACAACAGTGAGAATGACTTTTATTAACAATACATAATAGACATGAACACTTGTGAGCTGGTGTCAATGTAATGGAGCCGGGAAGCTTTCATCGCACTGACAGAAGGTATAAGACCTTCTAGGCTCCAGCCCCCCGGCGGGGCCTTGTTGTGGGGTGTAATGGTCGGGAGAAAAAGTCCTAAATAATAAAAAAACCCGACGCCTAACGCAAAGGGCAAAAACCTCGCACCTAAGCCAAAACGGCGCGAGGGAAAAAGCCCTGTAACCGCGATTAATTAATGTGTAAGTTTGGGGGTGAGCCGGGAGACGAGGGCTCTGATTAGCGTTTTAGGGGCGGCAGCCGCGGCCCTAACACGCTAAAGGCTCTTGATGATCCGAGCGTCGGCGAGAAAGACGAACAGAAGGTCGTGGATATCCGGATGAGTGTCGCCCAGGAGAGTCGGAAGGTCGAGAGAGAGTCCATGTGTGTTAATGTATTGTACTAGATGTCTGCGGTGTTGGTGTAGGTGTGGGCAGTGGAGGAGGAAGTGTGAGATGGTGTAGCGTGGGTGGTCGCGGCAGTGGTGACATATGGGTGGAGGTGCTCTGTCCAGGATGTAGTTGTGGGTGAGTTGTGTGTGGCCGAGCCGGAGCCTGGCTAGGACTCTCTCTTTGATCCTTGTGTTTTGATGGGAAGAGTAGAAATGGCAAAGTTTCGGTTTAATGGAGAAGAGATGTGGTGTATGATCATCTATCCAGCATTTTTGGCGGTATCTCTGGAAGGCACGGAAGAGCGAAGACAGAAAATCCGGAAGGGGGAGAGCGAGATGATTTCGAGATGGGAGATGAAGACCTTCTTTGGCTAGCTTGTCCGCTTTTTCATTCCCCTGTATTCCAACGTGGGACGGAATCCACAGGAGAATGACGTGTTTGTTTTCATCGGTAAAACCAATAATCATCTTTTTTATTTTATAAACGATTTCGTTTTTTTTTCCATTTTTCTGTGAGCTATTGCCTTTACCGATGAAGCTGAGTCTGTGCAGATCACAGCCTTTTCTATGTTTTTCGATGAGACATATTTGAGTGCTGAGTGAATGGCTATCAACTCAGCACTAAATATGCTATGGTCGTCGTGTAGCCTACTTGTTTTGTTATGATGGTCAGATGTGACAGCGGCTGCCGTCCTCCCGTCACAAACTGAACCATCTGTATATATGTATGCATAGTCTTTATGTTCTTCTTTATGCTCATAGAAAAGTTGAATGCTTTCTTCTTTTGTGACTTTTGAGTTTGCCTCTGCGTACAGGAATGCAATATTCTCTATGGCTGGCAGAAAGAAAGAAGAGATGGGTGGCCGATGAAAAATAGATGGAAAATCCAACTGGAAATCACTGAGTGTCCTTTCTATGCGATAGGCGATTATCGGGTATTTGAGTTGGGCCGTTGTGGGAGGGTCGTCCGTATATCGATTGGAGACAATGCGGTGCGAAGGCGAATAAGGGGACAAGAAAGTGCGCGCATAGAAGCGAAGGAGTTGGAGTTTACGGCGGTGAGAGAGAAGAGGAATATTACATTCTGCGTGGAGAGCCTTGATATTTGTGGTGCATTGGGCTCCTGTAACTATACGCAGGGCCTTATTTTGTATAACTTGAAGTGATTCGATCTGATTAGAAGCTATATCATCAAATAGAAAACTGTTGTAATCCAGGATAGGACGGATTAGGGAAGTGTATAGGTTAAGGAGGGTGCTGCGATCAGCACCCCAATCCTTTCCTGCTATACACTTAAGTATGTTGAGGCGCCTAGTGCAACGCATTTTAACGTCTTCAAAGTGATGTTTAAAGGAGAGTCTACTATCTAGTGTGATGCCGAGGTATTTGAACGTTTTAACGTATTTGATAGTTTGGTTCTTTACTTTAAGTTCGGTATCAAATTTAAAACGGGACTTATGAGAGAATATAAGTGCTACTGTTTTGCTGGGCGACAAGACTAGGCCCCATTTATCGCACCAGCTATGAATATCCTCCATTGCGTTTTGAACGGAGGCAAAAGCCGAGTCAATGTTTCTTCGCGTTACCCAAATGGCCACATCATCGGCAAAAATAGAATGCTTAAGGCTACTAGGTGGGTTTTGAAAAAGGTCGTTAATCATAATAAGGAAGAGGGTTGGGGAGAGGACACTGCCCTGAGGGAGGCCGTGATCCTGATTAAGATTGGGAGAAAATGTGTTACTGTATGCCTGGCCTATTCAAATACATTAGCCAGAGGGGTGTGGTAATAACTGGTGTAAGCAAATTGACCACGGTCAAAAATGCATTACCAGAATGCACTTAAGCGAACATTTTGGGATGGTCTCGTTCCTAAGTCGGCTTAGAGCTTCGGTCCAGAAAATAAATTTATCGTTGGCATACAGTAAAATACATACCAAACTCGGCCGGTGATAAATTTTCAAGACCTCAGTCCTTACTGATTTTTGAACTCGGCCTTCGGCCTCGTTCAAAAATCCAGTAAGGACCTCGGTCTTGAAAATTTATTTACACCGGCCTCGTTCAGTATTATATATTACCGCATCGTACGTTAAATGTTCTATCTTTGAGGAAATTAGAGATATAATGGGCCATGTGGCCGCGAATACCTGTCTTATGAAGTTTGATCAGAAGGGCTTGTTTATTTACTTTATCAAAGGCGTTTTGAAAATCAATGAAAACTGCAAATGTATACATGTCATTTTGGAAGCCCTTCTGGATGTCATCAATGAGGTGGACTATATTGTCTGCCGTGGAGCGGCCGGACCTAAATCCTGTTTGATGTGGAGAGAGGAGGTAGTTACCTTCTAGATATGCCCTAATCCGTCCATTGACCATATGTTCTGTCAATTTAGCAGCGCAACTGGTTAGGGATATAGGTCTATAACTAGAGGGGGAGGAGGGTGGTTTGTTAGTATTAGGCCAAGTGAGATAGGTTTGGCTAGAAAATCAGAACATTCGTTCGTCTTTTTGCGGTTCTTTAATAACGTCAGTTTGTGAGTATCAAAAATATATATTCTATACTAGGTTTCTTTTGCTCACTGTTTATTTTATTAGCAATCTACTGATTTTGCCATATATGGAAACTGAGTGCCCACATATATCGGCATCTCATTGGTGGCGAGCCTAGACTTCGGAAGTTCCACCAATGAGAAGCCGAAAAACTGCAGCATGCAGAGGGCTGTTCACGGACCCTGTGTGCGGTCGGACCGCACACAGCCTCCAAGCTCCGCCCACTGCGCCCCTACGTCAGCCTTGCGTCACCGCACACAGCGACCGCTGTGGCCGGTCGGGACTGGCCACAGCGGACCGTCCACCGCACGCAGCCGTGACGTCAGAACCGCCTACCCATCCCCTACCCCCACGCCTGCTGGACGTACCGCACACACCGCACGCAGCAGTGTGCGGTGCCCGTGAACACCCCTGATGAAAGAAAATTGCAAGCGAACAGCGTTCGGTGAATTATTTACAGCGCGGCATAATTCAATTTCAGTTTTTACAGAGTTAGGTGGGTGAAGTCCATCGGTATTTTATGAATAAACGATGGTTCTTGTGGTGTTTGAACTTCTGAATCAGTGTGCAATGTTTCTGCTGTAATTTGGTCGTATGAGCCCTTCTTGAAGCATCTTGAATCTTGGTATTAGGTACCCAAGATTCTTACCAGTTCTCTATATCAGTCGGGGAAACTATGGCAAAATCTGCTATTTTTAGCAGTCTGCTATTTTTGACAGAAATCTGCCAAAAATGGGTACGCATGTGACGTCATCGTACCCAAATAAAGCAGATTTGGGTACGGCCCCATACAAAAGCAGATCTACACCCTAATTGAAGCAAATGCGCATCAAATGCCTGGCAGATTCATGATGAGAATAGTGCTGAGAGTGATCTCTGCTACTTTTGCTCAGATCCGACTATTTTCAAATTCATTATTTGAAAATAGTCGGATCTGAACAAAAATATCAGAGGACATTCTCAGGCCTCAGCACTATTCTAATCATGAATCTGCCAGGCATTTGATGCGCATTTGCTTCAGTTAGGGTGCAGATCTGCTTTTGTATGGGGCTGTACCCAAATCTGCTATATTTGGGTACGATGATGTCACATGCGTACCCATTTTTAGCAGATTTCTGTTAAAAATAGCAGACTGCTAAAAATAGCAGATTTTACCATAGTTTCCCCGACTGATATACCGTGATTCTTACAGATATCAATATTACCTGGTTTTACCTGGGTATTACACCAGTGTACCTGGTACAAGATTAGCCATAGTTTTGAGCACGAGTTGTTGCATGTTTCAAATCCTATAAGGAGTCGTAATCATAATAACGCTTGTACGTCATGTCCGATCTGGGTTTTCAGGGTTCTGATTTCGATTTTTGGGGAGCGTTCTGGTCTAGGGGTAAGTTACTTACCTCAAGATTCATTGATTCAGGTTCAATTCCCGGGCAATGCATGTGGCATTGCTGCTGCTTGGCTGCTTGGAACAGTATGGGAGCTTCAGTTAGCACCTTGTCCACTGGTGCTTAACCCAAATCAACTAACCAACCATTTCATTTTTTATATCAATATTTGTTTTTATTAAAGATGATTTATTTATGCATTTGGGGCAGTGCAGGTCAGGTCAATCAGAAAGCATCCTGCCAGCTATCCTTTGTAGGTGTAAACAGTTACTGACATCTTCATATCATGTTTGCACCAAGACTCAAAATGTTCAAATATTTTACAAGCATGAAGCGTTAAAATGTCACCTGAGGGCTGAGGTCACCAAAGGTCAGTGACCTTGACCTCTTTTTCAAGTGACCTTGTCACCTACCATGGTGCAGGGAGCAAACATAATTTCCCATGTTAGCACATTTTTAATCACAGAAGTCTTGAAACATGCAGATATATTTTATATTATTACCTACAGCAAGGTAAGGCAAGGTTATTATGAGCACTGACATAAATGGCGATTCTGGCCTGCCATGGTCTTGGGAAGCAGGTCACAGGACAAAGGTCATTTGGGTGAGGTTATTGAAATTTTTAGGGCATGTGTAAAATTGATTAGGTCGAGTAATGGAAGCTTTGTCGCTATCCACAGCATTTCTTCTTGATTCATTCGCGAAAAAGCGCAGGGGCAGTCCATCCGCCACCGCCCCCGCCCCCGCCCCCGCCCCCTATAAGTGTGAGGGTTAATAATTCCGCCCGCTGTCGGGCCGATCCATGGCTAAAGGGAAGAGGGCTAATGTTCGCGTTCTCTGCCTAGTTCGACGTCTGACAGAACAAACATTCAGTAGACGCTGAACTGAAGCCGAGATGCCGACACGTTTCATGCCGGCGCGATATCGCCTATCAGCTAATGTTTCTTGGGGAGTGCATTCTTAGCTTCTTGGGGGTTGGTGGGGGGGGGGGGGTCTGCTCAAGGCAGTCGGCATTAGGGCGGTGGGAGCGGTCCACCGGTATTTTTCCTGGCGATAATTGATACGGGCGCCGGGCGTGGTTGGTAGGAGGTTTGAGGAATGAGGAGCTTACTTGGTCCTGGTGTGGTGGGTTGAACGGACGTTATTTATGACGAAGAAAGACTTGCGCAGATGTAGCTTATCTTATACAGAAATTTGCTTACGAAGATTCGGTGACGAACTTTGCGCAGGGGAAGATTTGACGATAGATATTTGACGATACAGTGGATGACGCAATTTGTGTCCTATTCGATCCTAGGGACAAATCAATTTTAAGGACCAAGAAATACTGAGGCTAAGGTGCGAGAATGTAAATAAAGGCGGACAAAGCTTTGCGCGAAGAAGACATGTGAGACGTGGATCGGTTACGAGATTGTGGATGTCTGTGTTGTTGTGTGGGAGAATGTTTGACAATAACATATGGATGATGGTTTTCTCCAGGCTCATCTTACCATCATGCTGAACTATCCAGCTGCACAAAGGAACACGGCACCGATCCTGGAGGCTCTGCTCCAGCATGTGTCCCGCACGGCCACCGGTGTGGCGCTTGAGGTGAGCTCTGGCTCTGGGCAGCACGTGGCGGCGCTGGCACGCCAGTACCCTTCTCTGCAGTGGCAGCCTACTGAGCTGGAATCCCGCCTGCTTGACAGCATTGGCCAGCACACAGCCGGACTGCCGAATGTGCGGCCGGCACGTCTGCTGGACGCTGCCGGCGACTGGGCCACCCAGCTGCCCGACATGGAGGCCCACTCTCTGTCGCTTGTTGTCAACATCAACATGGTGCACATCGCGCCGTGGCGGTGCGCGCTGGGTCTGATGGCGGGTGCCGGTCGGCTGCTGCGGTCCGGGGCATTGCTGATCACCTACGGACCGTACGCCAAGGACGGTTTGCTCACGCCTCAAAGCAACGTTGAATTTGACGCTCACCTTCGGGCCAAGAACGCCGAGTTCGGTGTTCGCGACATCCGGGAGCTAGAGAAGGCTGCGGCGCCGCACGGCCTTCGTCTGCACGCGGAGATCGATATGCCCGCCAACAATAAGACGCTTGTTTGGAAAAAGGACTAGTTGGCAGCTCACAGCCGCCGCATCGGTCTTCAGCTAGAGGAGCGTTTGTCAGTGGAAATGTTGACGCATGTAAAGCACGTCCAGTTTGGGAATGCTGTAGAACTGTTGTACCAGGGACCAGTGAGGGGAGCAACGGTTTTAACGCATATTTTTAGCCCAGCCTGTGGTTGTTTCGTGTTTGGAGTTAATTTTGATATCAGATATGCCTCGATTAGTGATTTTATTGTTAACTTTCAGGGAGTATTTTATATGTAGGTATGCTGTAATGAATGAAAACCTCTGAACTATGCGCGCTCGTAATTGTGTGCTAACCAGGTTGTGTCAAGTACCTACCAATGCCCACTAATGTCTGATCAGCTGTAACCGCACGCTCGCAACCTACCCCATGTAAGCTCAAATAACGAATGTCCGTTCCTTTTTTCTGTTTGGTCACTGAAACAGGTCTGTTGCATCGAAACGGTTGACCTTTTGCCAAACGGCATGCCCCACTCCATAGTCCAACATCCAACTTTTGCTTCTTCTGGATAATGGTCAAGCGGTGGGTGCGTGGTAGGAAATGGCTTCCGCCGCGGATGTCCGCCAAACTCACGTACCTATGCTGTTTCTTGTAGGTGGAGGAAGTGTGCCTTTGAACTCGCCCAATACAGTTTACTCACTTTACTGGTCACAGCTCGTCTTTGACGGGGTCGGCAGGGCGGAATCGCCGACGACGTACCACGACGCAGGGCGTGATGCAAGACCGTATAAGCCTGATTGAGGCATAGATGGATCCAGAAAGGTAGTATATTGGCGCTCCGATGCCAGTGTTTCCTTGACGCGGCTGGTTGAAAGGCCCTGTTTCACGACATGCCGCTGCATTGCGCGACCAGGTATTGGCACTCAGTTTCCATGAAAGCGTAAGCAGTATCGCCAATTTTTGCTTACATTTTCATAGGAACCGAGCGCCAATACCTGGTAGCATCAGGCATCGTCATACGCTGAAACGGCAATTAGGGCTCCATAGGTATGCGAAATTCGGCTGATAAAATACTTAACAACAGATATAATAGTTGCGTTTTAGTCTCGATTGGTCCGGTAGTTGCCAAGCTATATTAAAGCTGCAATAGACGAAAACGAAGTTGACCTCTTGATGTCAGTGGCGGAAGAAATCGCAGTAAGCGAATCCAATGGTGGCGATTCGTTTCGATCGGCCCCTTGGATGACGAGTTGGAAGAGGGAACGATTCATTGACCTCTCAATTTCACCGAGGGTACCTGAAATAACCATATTCGAAATGAACCATAAAATCGCGTATGGTGTGATTCAAGTCATCATTAGACGCGTTTACATAGGGTTTGTTCATTGTTGCAAGCTTGAAGCTTGTATCTCCGTCCGTGATGTTGCAAAAGATGCTAATGGTGCTTAACAATTTACAAAATGATCCCCTCCAAATATTTGAAGACCATCTGCATCGAAATTATCGCCAAACTAACGAGCTAGAGCCTCGTCAAACATGCTATGTAAACCGGGTTATTGTTTCCGTCGGAGTTATAGCCCCAACGCTATTAGGGATATTAGACGAGGGCTGTTCGGCTGCGCAGCCAAAATGAAATATGCTGCAGCACGCATGCGCAGTGAGGACTTCGTCGCCCGTTAGTCCCGCCCACACTCCGACGTCACCGCCTGTGTGACGTCACCTACTGAAGCATGCTTCGTTTTCCTGCAGCACGAAATTCGGTGCTGCAGGAGGCGAAAGTGGCGCGGATTAAAGTTTACCGTCCGATATTTCTTATTGTAAGCGGTTTGTATGTTGTTTTTTGGGTATCATTATCACTCTTTTCGGTAGCACTTTGCTATTAACCACATTTGAACGCAATTTAAACGTTATTTGAGCGACAATCACCAGTCCAACCGCGCAACGGTTCGCCGCGTTTGAAATAGGCTGCAGCGACGCTCGGCCGCGGCGTGCCGGCGGAGAGTGGGCGGAGCCAGGCGGTTGACGTCACCCGAGTATGACGCACGCAGCACAGATCTATGCTGCAGGGACCCGAACAGCCCTGCTCATGCCCCTGTGAGTCAGACAATAACACATACCTTGAAACTTTCTGAAACGTAATCGTACGTGGATACGTAAATGAATTTACGCAGGATTATATATTGACTTGTTGTAGCTCCACGTGTTAACGACCAATTCCTGGTAAGAGCGATTTGAATAAAATATTTGAAAAGTTTGTGGAAAGCGTGCTAATGACTTCTTTCTCTGCGTTTCAAATGCCACAACCGCGTCATACGGCTTGCCTACCGCGCCTAACCAAACTAAGTGATTTATTCAACTACCTAAAGCTTGTTAGTGATTGATATTTACTGTAGATTGTTTTGCAGGATGGATTAGTGATAACAAAGACAAATTAGACAATAGGGATGCTTCATCTTGAGTCTTATAACAAAATATGGTCGTTTGCGATTTGGTGTCGTATTGTCCCCATGTTTTCACGCTCTGGCCTCCACCCACCTTTTGCAGATATCAAGGCTGTATAAGAGGTTAACCACCGTCTGTCAGCTATGGCTGAAGAAATGGTGCAGAAACTGCTGGATGGGCAAGCACTAGATACAGAAGAGTTTTGTGATTTTTCCCTTGAAGACCAAAATGAAGCAACAGGTAGGTACTTTCAGGGTGTGTCTGTTTGCCAGGTTTATGCTCCTCAGTATACCTCACCTGTTCAACAGCTTCATCTTCCTTGACCTTATCTAATCCTGCTTTCTTTGTCCTGAAACATGATTAAAGGGACCCTCCCACCTTCAAAAAAGTCAATGAATTGGCATGATAGTGATGTCGCTCGGTTCAGAAAGAGCGAAAACCAATATCTACCAAATTTCATCGAAAAATATTCACCGGTTTTCAAGATATTAGACTTTTACTTTTGTTTACTTTTTGGGATCTCCGCTGTTTCTAGCGACTTTATTTTAGAAGTGCGGCGTTTGCGGCAGATGTTGTGCGCAAATAGCATATACCACCGCGTGCTACAAAACGTTTTAGTCAAACATTTAAAAATCGTTAGATATTTGAGCTGACGTCACACATTCAGAGGGGTATTCCTAAGCATTAGCCCCTCTGAATCAAAATGCTGCAATTTTGAAATTCAATATTTCCGATTTAAGGCATTTCTCGATGTTGTGAGTGCCGAAACCGGTAATTGTGAGCCAGGGACCCCATTTTGGCTATCTCAACTCAATCTAATGTTAAGGTGGGAGGGTCCCTTTAATCGAGTCTGTTGTTGATCTACAAATGTACCCTCCCTGAACATTCATGAATAAATTACATGACAGGGAGAGATTGCAACAGCATTTATAATACCCTGCAGTCAATCAATTTCACATCTTCTCTGGAAATGTCATGACCCTGACCCAAATGCCCTTTGACTAATGACCTTTTGCTTGAGTCTGTTAAATGTTGGCACACATTGCCTGTGTGCTTCCTGGCTTTTCTCATTTTTTGCCAACATCTCATTTTTTGACATATGAAATGTTCTTTGTCTTGTAGATTATAGTGGGTTTTATGGTACATAAAGCTCAGGTTTATTACAATGACCTAGGTCAAAGTCCTTTACCTTATATCACTTTGGTTGACTTCTTTTAAGCTTTATGAGTTATTGGTATTTTATTTTTAGTTGACTTCAAATTAAGCACCTATTTGAACATAGTTTGGTGCCTATGCAACATGTGAGACTCAGTGTCGATTTACACCCACTGATAATGGCTGGAAGGATGCCCATGGGCTGATCTTACGTCCTAACCTGACCCATCTTAATGACCCATTTGGGTCATTGACTTGACCTGGAAGGTAAATTAATGACCTAGAACCTTTATGTAGATACTAGATTGGCTATCACTACCTTCCTTTTGTCATGGGCAGCCCATGCGTCATTGTTGTGATGCTCTAGCCCAATCAGGGGCTAGGGGCAGGGCCAGCCTAGGCATCTCTCCCCCTGTGCGTTAGGTGCAGTGCTGGAAATGAGGCCGCTTTCTGGTCCAGGCGTTTTATTCTCCTGGTGGGTCAGCCCCATCTAGCGCTTAGCCTTTCGGGACCCTCTCAGAGCCGCGGTTGTTTTCGCCGCTCGGCCCATTCGAGATGCAAAGTTGATAGTCACACGAAGTTTATTTGGGGCATCTGAATATACGACTTCGAAATTAATCGATTCAGCAAAACCCTTTTCTTTCATCTATATGCATACATTTAACAGTTACTCCAGACTAGGTTGGTTTGGCTGACCCTAAATAAGCTTCGTTTGACTATCAACTTTGCATCTCGACTGGGCCGAGCGGCGAAAACAACCGCGACCTTGAGTGGGTCCCGAAAGGCTAAGCGCTGGACGGGATTAACCCGCCCGGAGAATAAAACGCCGGGACCAGAAAGCGGCCTCATTTCCAGCACTGGTTAGGTGTTGCTAAAAGGCCAATACAATACAGTCGACTATTGGGGGTAAAACATGCCATGAGATCAGATTCATTCATCAATAAATCCAGGCTAGATTGAGTTAGCAAGTCAAGGCAGGCTGGGAACAATGTCCTGACCTGAATATACATCTGTTTAACATTAGGTCAGGAGGTGATGTCAAGAGACCTCACGCAAATAAATATAAGTTTTTGAACTTTGCTCATTAATGCTAGGTGGGGTGGTGAGGAACTGAGGTATAGGGGACACAGCGCAGTTTGCCACTATGTGGTTGACAAGGGCCACTGCCTTGATTTTCCATAATAACCATTGACTTTGTTTTACTTGATTTATTGTTTCAGGCTACAGCTGATTATAGTAAATTTTCATTTGATTCTCTCCACAATGCTGATTTTTTGCTGCTGATTATTGTTAAAGCAAGTGATATTCTTAACAGAGAAGCAATTTTTAGGTCTCTGAGAATAGTTTGTGTTAAAAAAAAAAATAGAGAGAATCTTGTTTGTTCTTATTTTAACCATTCAGCACTCAGCAGGTCTAATAAATGTAAATGCCCGTCATTTTTATTTGTTTGCGAGACAAAATGTCATTTGTGCATTGGACATGCTGGAATATGTTCACAATTTAACTCATTGTTTCCTTCTTACAGCCGCAAAGGGCGTCGCTCCATCATCACCCTCTACATTTACCCCTGAATTAAAGAAGAACATCTGCTATGTCGTAGCTGCGGCCATTGTCAACGATAAAGGAGAGGTGCTGATGATTCAGGAAGCCAAAAGGTAAGCATACTTTTGCTCGAGCTTATTTTGCTAAAAGAAAATCAACTGGGCAATCTCATTTTTTCAGATCAGTGAAAGTGAGAATGCGTCCTGACTCCTGAATATAATCTGATACACCAGTATCGTGGCTAACGTCTCGAAGCGTAATGAAAGTGTGCCGTGTAACGAGCCACGTGGCTCTGTACCGTATACCACAGCTCGTGCGCCGGTCAGAGGTACCTGCCGTGTAGTAACTCTGTACCGTATACAGCTCGTGCGCCGGTCAGAGGTACCTGCCGCGTAGTAACTCTGTACCGCGTACCACAGCTCGTACTGTGGTACGCGTACCTGCCGTGTAGTAACTCTGTACCGTATACCACAGCTCGTGCGCCGGCCAGTGGTACCTGCCGGCCGGCCGGATGGAGGCCGGAGAGACGATCGCCGAGGCGGCGCGTCGCGAGGTGCTCGAGGAGACGGGTCTGGAGCTGGAGCCGACCACCCTGCTGATGGTGGAGACGGCCGGCGGCGCCTGGTACCGCTTCGTCGTCACCGGCACCGTCACAGGCGAGTCGTGGGCTAAACAGCACAGGCTAGACTCACGGGTTAAACGGTACAGGCGAGTTGTGGGTTCAACGGCACGGGCTAAGTCACGGGTTTAACGGTACAGGCTAGTCAGGGGTTTAACGGTACAGGCTAGTCACGGGTCAAACGGTACAGGCTAGTCACGGGTTTAACGGTACAGGCTAGTCACGGGTTTAACGGTGCGGTCTAGTCACGGGTTAAACGGTACAGGTTAGTCACGGCTTAAACGGTGCGGTCTAGTCACGGGTTAAACGGTACAGGCTAGTCATTAGTCATGGAGATTAAGCATCACGGTCTGTCACAGAGGCCAGTCACAGTTCGGGTCACTGGTCAAACGTCACGGGCCAGTCGCAGGCTAAATGTTACAGGTTACTGGTCAGGTCAGTTACAGGTCAGTGATCATGTGACCGATCAGCTGTTGTCACGGGTTGTTGTTGGTCCAGTGTTGTTTAGTGTTCTGTCTGAAGTGCTGTGTTCTATGTAACGGTCAGTTATCTCATATCTGATTCGGTGAGAGGTTCAGCCGTACCATTCAGTTATCTGATGCTTTATGGTCCAGTACCAATCTGTTATAATCTGTCTCGCTGCACGGTATGACTGTGCTGTGTGTCGCTGGCGGCAGTGCCGTAGTGTGACCGCCGCCTCCTTACCCACAGGCGGTCGGCTGAAGACGCCGGCCGACGCCGACCCGGAGTCGCTGCAGGCCCAGTGGGTGGCCGACCTGAGCGCCTACGAACTGCGCGCCAGGGACATCGAGCCGCTGGTGGAGCTGGCGCGCGCGTACCATGCGCGCGGCGCGGCCGCCTGGCACCCGGAGCGGCTGCCGGCGGCGCGAGCCCACCGCCGCCTCCTGCTCCGGCTGGTCGTCTGCGTCCGAAAACGCGCCAAGTGAGGACGGGGGCGGGAGCGAATCGGGTACTGCTTGTACAGCTTCTTACACAGCGTGATATTGCTGATTACCTGATTTTACATAGTTTGTTGTTCCATGAATTGGAATGGACGTTCTTTTTTATATAGCTTGAGTTTTCTGATTGACACAATTACCTTGGTGACGTCTGAATGGCTTTGTTCACCGAGCGTTCCGTCTGTTTCAGTAACCGGGTCAGTGTTCTGATGTCGGAGAAGACGTCTCTACACCTGCCCACATGCGAAATATCGCCGCCCCGCAGCATCCACTCAACGCTCAAAAGTATATGACGGTAAGTTGACGCCGCTTTACAGACCGTGGCCTGTGCCGTGTGTCGCGAGGTCTTCTGGCTTGTACCGCGTGCTATCAGAGCTGACATGTGTCCCTTGTGCTGCAGTTTGTTGATTTGTTACCAACCTCGACCGTGTCAAATAGGTGTGATGGCATGTGCAGTGTGCCGTGAGTTTTAATGTTGTAGCATTGCACTGTGAGGTCTTATCTTTATTATGTGCTGTGGCCGTGAGGTTTGACCTTTGCTGTGACTGTTGTGTGTCATAAGATATTCTGGCTGTCGTGTACTTTTCCGCACGACTTATTATTCAATTTCCTTACATCCCACCCTGAAGTCTGACACACGCCTCTCCCTCCGTAGGAGATGTTCGGAGCCGACCTGCCGCCGCACCGGCCGGCCGGCGTGCTCTCGGTCGAGTACAGCCACCAGCCCGACCAGCCGGCCGGCCTCTGCCTCACGCTGCTCGTGCCCGTCCGAAAACCGCTGGAGGAGGTGCACCTGATCGACAAGTACCAGTGGTGCGAGCTGAACCGCGAGCTGGGTCACGCGCTGCTCGACCGGCTCGGCAAAAATCAGCTGGTGTCGCTGAACGTCATCAGGTAAGGCGCGGCGGCCGGACGGCGGCGGTGGCGGCCGACCACCCGCACTGCCGGCCGGTGTCGGGCACCTGCACGGCCGAATGCACCGACTGGTGCGTGACAGCCGCCGCTTCAACGGAGACTGCCGGACGTCGGGGATTGAGAGATGCATGCTGCTGTGGTGGTTGTCTTCCAGCCTGGAGCACAGAGCACCGCTGCCGGCCCGGGGTCGGAGGTGGCGACGCCCCCGGCCCCGCGGCCAATCACCGGGCGCCCGCCGGTGGCTCAGGCCAGCCACCGATCGGCGGGCAGTGCAACAGACTGGTGGTAGCTCTGGCAAACACGGGCCGACGCAATGGTATTCCCAGGTGTACAACGACTTGCGAGCTTGCTTTGGCTTTATTTACGAAGGGACGAGGTTTGAGATACTGAAGTAGGGAATTTAAGGATATTCCGACCAGGCATACCTAGTTAAATTATTTGTTTTAGCAAATGAAATAGAACATTTTGAAGCTGTATATTTTAAAAATGTCAACGTTGCCAGTAACGTTAATCGTTTACGTGTATGTGAACCGTGACCAATTTGTGCGTTCCCTGCGGGCCAAATGGCATGACTGATGGAAACTGGCTTTAGGTGGTAGCTGCTACTCTTCTTTATCAGACATAAGAAAAGATATATTCGTGTGTTACAGTTACCACATACATATATCTATTTGGTGGATGATTATTTGCACTGCTGCTGGCATCAGCTCGCTTCGTCTTTGTATATTCGTTAGCCGACGGGTTTCAGTGGTAGCCGACCCCGTCTGTCTGCCTTACATGCCAGTAGGTTTTAGTGTCTGGATTGTCTGCCTGCTCAGTCGCTATGCACTCCGATGGGGGTTCATGCCCCCCCAAGTGGCGGCCTGCACAGTGCCCACTTGTGTTGTGTCCTGCCAGTAGAGTACTGTGTCGTCGGCAGACTGTCCCGTCCGTGTATATTTGTTTGTCTGGCGGTGATGTTAGTTTCCGAGTCTAGGCCGTCTGTTCGGTCCCTATTCGCACCATGTCTGCCGATGGGTTTCAGCGCCAGGGCCAGCGAGTCGATGGCGTGATGCTGGATCGGTCTCCAGCTCCGCGGTCGCCGTTCGTTCGTGGCCGGTATGGGATTCTGCCGCCGCTGCTCTCAGTGTACTCCCAGCACCGCTCACCAGTGGTGACGGCTGTACTGTCCACCCCCGCTGCCCGCGAGTGTCCTGCTACCCCCGCGCCGCTGCGGTTATGTTGTTACGTTTCCGTCCATCTGCTGTGCTGCGCCCTTCGGCCTTATGTATATGACTGTAAAGTGTGTATTTCTGTGTGTACGGACCCGTGCCTTCTGCAGCGTGCGCTGGACGCTGGCCCGTCGCGTGGCGCCCGCAGCGCCAGACGGTCCGTCGCCGCTCGCTCTTTGGTGGTAGGTGTCGCTACTAATTGGATGGCGAGCCGGTGGTCGGCCGACTTCGCCTCGCTCAAGTCGCTAATATATTTTTACTTTCTATATGGCTTTTCTTTTGATTGTGGAAATGGTGCATCCGCCCATGGTCCGGATGTTGGGTCACTGTCACTGAAAGACAAAAACAAAGTAAGTTAATTCATTTATCACAAATTAATGACGAGCACAATGCGAGCAGGGTTAAACCCCCGAATCGGTCGGGGATAGTGACCGGCTCAGACGACCTGGAGGATGGGCACTGAGCGCACAACTGTGGGAGGCGGCAGTGGCACATTACGGCAATGCAGCGGAGGCGTGACCCCCATGCCCTGCGGACTTGCCTCTCTTCCCCCGACCGGTCACACGCACAGTTGACGGAGACGTAGATTACGTTCCGTGGGCAGGTCACAGAGGCAGTTTGTAGCGGCGCACGCAGCAGTCCCGGCCGGCCGTGAACAGCTGCCGTCCGTTGTCGCTCAGACCGTACACGGGCTCACAGTCGGGTCCGCAGAGTACCACGGTGTGCGGAGGGTCCGCCCGGTCACCGTCCGGTGGCTCCTCCGTGTGCACGGTGCCGTCAGCGCGCGCCACCAGCAGCCGGCCGGAGACGGGCCGCAGCGCCAGCACGGGCGAGCACGAGCGACGGCCGGCACCCAGCTGTCGGCCGGAGCGCACCTCCAGCCAGCAGACGGAGCCGTCCCGGCAGCCGGCTGCCAGTCGGCCCGGCGTCGGGCAGCTGAGCGCCGTGACGGCGGCCGGCAGCTGCCAGCTGGTCAGCTGCCGCCGGCTGTGCGCGGCCACCAGCCGGACGCAGCCGTCCTCCGAGCCGACGGCCACCAGCCGGCCCTCCGTGCCCACCTCCCGCTCATCTGCCGAGGGACAGGGACAGTTGTCAGCTCACGGTGGGACACAGTCACCTCCAGGAGGGACGGTAGGACGCTGTTAGCTCACCGCGGAGGGACGGAAAAACAGCCAATGCACGGTAGGACGCAGTAAAAACCACGAACCGGCAGCAAGACACCGCCGACCTGGCCTGAGAGGGAACAGTAAAGTCACGGAGACACCGCCACATCACAAAGGGAGGGGAGGAACACCGTCGACTCTCATCGGAAGCCTGATCTGGAAGATCATATAAAGCAAAAAAAAAAAAAATGATTACGCCGAAGTGCTCCGTGATTGAGGCATCCGCACATCAACGTTAATTTTGTTACAGTTTGGCAGCTATCGACAAGTCCTACCTTGGCCTGGTTACCCCACTTCGGGCCCTCCCGTTCGGCGGCCCTCCACCTCCACACAGCCGAGGTACTCACTGGGCGGTTCGTCACGCGATCCGGGGTCCAGGCCGTCGGGCAGGTCCGTCAGCAGCACGCAGTTGATCACAGAGTCGATCTCACACAAATCGGCCAGACACCGCTGCTCGCCGACGTCCCAGAGCTTACAGTGGCCGTCCCTGTCGGACCAGACCGCATGTCATACGCCAGAGGACCAGGCTCGCTTCACACGCAGAGAGCAACACGGGGCGAGATCAGCACACACTTGAGGCTCGAATAAGAAGAGATACTGAGACCGCTGACTAGACTATCTCACACAGGTCGAGGCGAGGGACACCAAGGTTCATTGACCAGGGTTCACTGACTGACCTGCCTGCCGAGATGATGTTCCTGCCGCGATCGACGATGGCCGTGGCCAGCACCGCGCCCGTATGCCCGCGCAGAGTGGCCGCGCACTGGCCCGTCTCGGCCGACCAGATCTTGAGCTGCATGTCCGCGCCGCCGCTGAGTATCACGACTCCGGAGGGAAAGAACCGGCAGGTGTAGACCTCGCCCAGGTGTCCGGACAGCTCCCCGCTGCCGGCGGGTACGGGGGTCAGAGGTCAACGAAATCACCGACGGGAGGGGAGGAAACAGACCAGGAGATAACGGAAAGGTCAGGTGAGGTATCACGAGACACCGGGGATGCCAGAAGACAGACCATGAAATACCGGGAACAAGTCGAAGTAAGTTGCACAATTGCACAGCAGTCACGGATTGACCGTCAGTGATCAGTTTGTGATCAATGCAGTCCTCTAACGGTTACTGGTTCACGTACCCGAACCTCTCCAGTGGCCGACTCCCACACACGCAGGGTCTCGTCTGCGGAGCAGGAGACGCCCAGACCGCTGGCCGACACATCCACATCGGTCACCTGAGGGTGTCAAATCCACATCGGTCACCTGAGGATCCCACATCCACACCCGTCACTGAGGGTATCAAATCCACTCTCGTCGCCTAAGGGCATCATATACACCGGTCACCTGAGGTATCATCCAGTCCACACAGGTCACCTAATGGTTTCGCATATCAGGCGACACGGGACACTGTATGTTGGCTGTCAGAGGGAGAAGCCAAATCGGCCGCCAGAGGACACCCTACGTCAGTAGATAGAGGTCACGGCATGTCGACTGTACGTCGACTAACAGAGTCATAATACATCGGCAGCCGGTGATCTTTTGATGACATGAACATCACTGAACGGCCCTGACCCGTGCCCGACTCACGGCCTTGAAGTGCAGGGCGCGCAGCTCGGCGGCCGGCAGCAGGTGCCGGTAGACGGCCGGGCTCGACTGGTGGCCCACCTCGAGCGCGTCGGCGCCGCAGCGGCGCGCCCAGAACCCGTCCGAGCCGTGCACGGCCGGCTCCTGGTCGGGCCCCGGCGGCGCCGCCTGCAGCCGGCCGTGCACGCTGGACTCGCCTGCAAACGGCACACGCACTGTCAGCAGTTGACAGCTGCTATTCCACAGAATGCAATGGCAATGCAACAACTGCTGTGAACCCAATAGTGCAGCAAATTTTGCTGGTATTCCCTGAGTGGCATCCTGACTTAAAATGCTGGTTTCTTGTTTCACAATACCATTGCCAAAATAGCCTTAGTCTTGATATTGTTGGTAGGTAGCATTTTCTACCATCCAGGCTCCACAATACCTTCATAGCAGTTCATGGTAAAATTGAAACTCCTTAGAACAGAGGTAATAGATACTGAAAAAAGCAAATCATATCCTCCTTAACATTAACACATGACTTACCAGGCTGCTTCAGAGTAACCCAAGCTGTTTCACCATTTCTGAAAAACAAGTTGCTGGTCAGCTCAGCCTGCTGAGAAAAGGAGCAGGGTAATATGAGCATGTCAGGTTGGATTTACACAGCAAGCTCAGCTTTGCATGCTGAAGACTAAAACTGCGCACAAACAAAGCAACAACTAGTCTATTCACAAAAAATAAATAACAGGGAGCAGTATTGTAATTCAAGCTTTGACCTATCAGCAGCAGCTGTTCTTTGCAATTGAATGAAATGCAGGGAAGCTATTTCTACCAATTTGTGATGTTTTAACTTGTGTACATATTAATATAAAAAGCCTTCCACATACAGTGTGGTAATAGCAGCTTGCCAAATGACCTAAGCTGGTATCAAGTAGGAAAGCAGGCATCTTTGGCAACCAATGAGAGGCACTATACCCAGAGATGCTTCTGTAGGCAGTAGGTTTGTAGGTTATAGCCTGTAGGTGCTAGGTTATGGGCTATAGGTTAGGTTAGGTCAAGTTAGCATTAGCGTCGCCACGGGGGGCAAGCGGGGCAGCTTGCCCCCCCAACCTCGGACCGGGCACCCCTGAGATCGATACAGATCCGATGAGATTTTGGAGTCGGGAAAAAATGGGGGTACCTTTCTGAGAATGCCTGGGAGGTCAGACTCGGTTGGAGCGGGCAGTTCAAACCAGAGTCTGACTCGCAGTCGCCAAAATCTTCAAGACTCCAAGTCCAGACTCGGAAATGTCAATGATGTGATTCATTACATGTTCCTAGTTCGTTCTTTATTACATTTTACAGCTGATTTTCATAAGTTTTGGAGTGCTGACACAATTTTCGTTCAAAGCGTGAAACGAAATCTTCGGGGCCTTTCTCAACTCTCGTCAAATGTCTGCGACAGGCTCAAGTACCGTACAAGTGTCGCAGGGCTCATGAGCTTGCTTTAAACAAAGGCTCCTAAGGAGCTTCACTGAGCCCTAAAGAAGCTTTTAGAGGGCCCAAACCGGCCTCTGAAAGCCCCACTGGTGTCCATGTTCTTTGAGGGCCCATACAGGGATCTTTGAGCCTTCGAACATTTCTGAGAACCTTAACTGGCCTCTGATAGTTCAGCCAAATTTTTGAGGCGACAGACTTTGCCAACCCCAAGCCGGCAGCTGCGGGGTCACAGCTCACGTGTCCCTCTGAGGTCCGCAACACATGTTTATTATGTCCCTACGTAGGGTCCTTAGGGATTCGACATAGACCCCGAGGGTTCACACTGCTATCCGAGGGCTCCAGGCTCACCCTGGGCCTAGTCTTTAGCGCCCGCCGCCCACACTGGCTTCTGAGGACCCCACCTTGGGCTCGGAAAGCCCTAAAGCACCACGTACGCGTAAATATTTGAGGTGACCCACGTCGATCTCCGGGATCCTAAGCAGGCTTCTGAGAGTCAGCACTGACCCTGAGTGGCCTGAAATGGCTTGGAAGTCACAAACCTATCTCTAAGGGATCCCTTGCCGCTATGCCGTGCGTAACTTTTGGTTCTGTTTAACAGTTTTTTTCACGTTTGCAGCGCTTCCCTTCACACGAAAAACGAGAAACTTTTGTTCACACTCGAGTGAACAAAACACTCCTCTCACTGGAGCAAAGATGAATTACTTCCGATTCACACTTCACACATTCACTCTCCGCCGAATGCCCAACTTAGCTACGATCGGCGGCTGGGATAAGTCCTATGCATTTCACGTAAAACCTCTGCATGCATGCGTGAATGGAGGTTTTAGCAGGGTGATCCGATCAAATGGAGCGTTTTTCACCTCTAAATCGGTAGGTAATGATCATGAGCGTCGAGCGTCTGCACAGGGGCCCTCTGCAGTGCGTCTGCAATCGCAGCCACTATAATTCTATCAGTCGTTTTATGAAATTTCAAAATTTCGAATTTTTCTTTAAAAAATTACATGTCATAGCTAGAAGGAAACCTTTGTCACCATGGGATTCCTCGCACCATTGCGCGTCGAATGATATGTAAAACGAGTGATTTAAGACTGGGGAAAGGCAAGTTTTGACACAAAAGTTGATTTTGCCCCCCCAACCAAAAATCTCTGGCGACGCCTATGCAAGTTAGTTTGTTTTGGTTTTTGGTGGTAGGAGGAAGCACTTCAGGTATAGCACCTCTCCTTGATTGCAAAAACAAGTATGATTCCTGCTTTACTACTACCCCTAAAACTGAAACTTTGCCAGTAGCAAAGGACGAGTCACAAACTGCAAACACCCAACCATAAAACCACATGATCAACATGTTTAATAGCATGACGTGCTTGTGTGCTAGTCTTGAAGGTTACTGGCTGTTGAAAAATGTTGAGACAATCTCAATTTACTCTGAAATACATTTCAGAGTCCTTTATCTATACATGACAATGCCCACATATAAAAAGTCAATTAAGAATAAAAGGGACTATAAAACTTTGGCACTCAATAGTTACTGCCCAAATTTCACAATTTAATTTCATATTTATTGCATAGACCTGAGATCAAATTCACTGTCCCAGCATTGTCATCTTTCTTAGGCACTGACCTGAAAGCATCATTCCAATTCTCCTGGAGCAGTATCATTTCAACCCAATTCGTTTCAGATAAGCGCAATGCTTGTAATGAAAAACGGTACTCTCTTAGCAGACGTCACCCCAATTGCCGATCTAATGGCCAGTTGAAAAATCTAGAGACTTTTGAAAAGTCTCTAAATGGGTAGGAAAATCACCCCAGGGGTCAATTAGGGGGCGGGGAACACGAATATGACACTTATTTGGTCTAACTCCCCTCCTTCATCCCTTAATCCTCCCTTAACCCGCGCACCGACGGGGGTCTGCGCCAACTTAGTACCGACGGGGGGGGGGGCGGATGACCGCCCCCCCCGAGATCTCGAGAACGAAGCAAGATAGCGACAAGCGGTAAACGGCATCGGATACGCACGGACAAGGTCTACAATTTTTACTAAGGTCATTTTCAGGTCAGGTCAAAGATGACGTCACAGGGGTCGAAAAAGTCAAAATGGCGGCGCTAGATATGGAGAGGATTTTTCTCGAATAACTTTCGAAGTAGTCAAGATAGGAACAAACTAAGGGCATCATCGTGATCCTCTCGTCAATCCGCATCGAATGATATATATGTTGACCTCGAAAGGTCAAGGTCAAAGGTTGACCTCAGGTCACGTGACCTCGAGGTCATCATGTATACATTCGATGCGTCTTGACGAGCTGAACACAATGAGACCATCCGCGCGGCTGTATCTTGTTCCTGTAAGGAGTTATTGGCAAAAAACCTTTGGTGACCTTTGATGACGTCACATGACCTTACAGCTGCCCAACAGCAAAACAGACCTCAAGGTAGTGAAGGTTGATCGTATGTGAAGTCATGTATGGTATATGGGGCCATTCCGACCCGTTTTAGTGGTAAAAACAGGGAGTTGATTTTTCCCCCATTGACTTACAATGGGGAGGTCGCGAAATTGACCTGACCTTAGGTCACCGACATCAAAATTCCGAGATATACAAATTGTAGCTACTAATGACCTAATAACATCCTGCGACTTTCAAAGGCCTCCGACATCTACTGTAGCTCTGGCACGGTGACAAAGTTGCAAAAAAGTGACTTGAGGTTGGGTCATTCAAAGTGACCTGGTGACCTGACCTTAAAAGTTAGGAGGTTCAAACTTGCACACCATGTGTAAAATTGATGAGAGAATAGTCATACCAAATTTCGCGGCGCTACGCGCCGCGGTTTTCCCGCTATCCGCGAAAAACCTCAGGGGGGGGCGGATATCCGCCCCCCCCCCCGTCGGTGCGCGGGTTAAAGGACGGGGCGCGTCAAAAGTGCCTCAAGGATTCGTCTGATCGCCAAAATAAGGGTCGCAATCGATTCCTCGCGTCAATATGTGGCCGCAGCCTCACGTTGCAGATGTGTGCAGCGTATCCCTTATCCCTTAATCGTCCCTTAAAGGACGGGGCGCGTTAAAAGTGCCTCAAGGGTTCGTCTGATCGCCAAAATAAGGGTCGCAATCGATTCCTCAGGTCAATATCTAGCCGTGGCTTCGGCTTCCAGATGTGTGCTGCGTATCCCTTATCCCTTAATCGTCCCTTAAAGGACGGGGCGCGTTAAAAGTGCCTGAAGGGTTCGTCTGATCGCCAAAATAAGGATAGCAATCGATTCCTCAGGTCAATATCTAGCCGTGGCCTCACGTTCGAGATGTGTGCAGACTGCAGCGTATCCCTTATTCCTTAATCGTCCCTTAAAGGAAATAGTTCACTTTTTAACATGGGTTTTGAACTGGAATAGCAGTTCCGTAGCCTGGGCTAGACGAGCATAAATCAGGAGCTTTTACAGCCCAACGATCACCCTAGGCAAAGATATTCTATTTCTCGTCCCGAAAAAGGTGTCTTGCGTTGAGGATGTGTGCCTTGCATATATTCGCATCCAGTATGAAAAGAGCATGGGTACCGAAAATTCTTCAGAAACTAGAGAAATTATCTACGAGTACTCTAGAGAAATTCTCGTACTGATCAATACCTAAGGACATTCAGCAGCAGCAGATCGCCCAAATGCCGGTGGCCGCGATCATTTCTCTAGTTTCTGAAGAATTTTCGGGACCCATGCTCTTTTCATACTGGATCGCCTGTGCCTTACAGAAACTGAAAAGTTCTTCTTATTATCAAAATATAGAAATAATCTTTTGTTATAAATAGGTTTTATTTTCTTTGCTGATCATTTTGAACATAAAAAATCATAAATCCATTGCAAAAAAATAATTTCGTGAAAGTGAACTATTTCCTTTAAAGTACGGGGCGCGTTAAAAGTGCCTGAAGGGTTCGTCTGATCGCCCCCCTCCCTACGGGGCGCGATTTAAGGGGCATTTAAGGGGTAAGGGACCGGTGCCACACACCTGGATCCCGAGGCTGCGGCTAGATATCGACCCGAGGAATCGATTGCGACCATTATTTTGGCGATCAGACGACACCTTGAGGCACTTTTGACGCGCCCCTTCCTTTAAGGGGCGATTAAGGGGCCAGGGACCGGTGTCACACACACTGGATCCCGAGGCTGCGGCTAGATATTGACCCGAGGAATCGATTGCGATCATTATTTTGGCGATCAGACGAAGACTTGAGGCACTTTTGACGCGCCCCTTCCTTTTAGGGGCGATTAAGGGGTAAGGGACCGGTGCCACACATCTGGAACCCAACGCTGCGGCTAGATATCGACCCGAGGAATCGATCGCGACCATTATTTTGGCGATCAGACGAGGCCTTGAGGCACTTTGGCGATCAGACGAACCCTTCAGGCACTTTTAACGCGCCCCGTCCTTTAAGGGACGATTAAGGAATAAGGGATACGCTGCAGTCTGCACACATCTGGAAGCCGAAGCCACGGCTAGATATTGACCTGAGGAATCGATTGCGACCCTTATTTTGGCCGGATCAGACGAACCCTAGAAGCACTTTTAACGCGCCCCGTCCTTCAAGGGACGATTAAGGAATAAGGGATACGCTGCATTCTGCACACATCTCGAACGTGAGGCCACGGCTAGATATTGACCTGAGGAATCGATTGCTATCCATGTTTTGGAGATCAGACGAACCCTTCAGGCACTTTAAACGCGCCCCGTCCTTTAAGGGACGATTAAGGGATAAGGGATACGCTGCACACATCAGGAACGTGAGGCTGCGGCTAGATATCGACCCGAGGAATCGATTGCGACCCTTATTTTGGCGATCAGACGAGCCCTTGAGGCACTTTTGACGCGCCCCGTCCTTGAAGGGACGATTTAGGGATGAAGGAGGGGAGTTAGGCCAAAATAAGTGTCAAATTCGTGTTCCCCGCCCCCTAATTGACCCCTGGGGTGATTTTCCTGCCCATTTAGAGACTTTTCAAAAAGTCTCTAGATTTTTCAACTGGCCATTAGATCTGGCAATTGGGGTGACGTCTGCTAAGAGAGTACCTGAAAAACTAAAAGGGTGAACGAACTTGATGTATTGTCGATTTTAGCAGTATTTACTTGCTAAATAGCCAGGGGCTTGCAAGAGAATCGCTCGAACAATTTCATCACTCAGCACCTTGTTCTTGTTCTTGTTGGATTAGGGCGCGTATCTGCCAGGGGACTCAGCACCGTACTCTGCAAATTCATCGTGCGTGCGCCATGCTTGCCATATTTTGTAGCGGATGCGTCAGATATGTGTGTTTCTTACTGGCATTTTTTGGCAAATTGCTGCCATATTAAAACATTTTCGAGGAAAGAGGAACTGAGAGGAGATTAACTTTCTAATGATGCCTGTATTTATTTTTTTTCTTTACTTTGTCTATCTTTTTGCCTTATTTTTGTGGTATGAGTAAGGAACTCCATTTTATTTAGAAACAAAGAATGAAGGAAAACTTCATGTCTGCTTGTATCAAGGGATTTGGTAGCCTAAATCTACTACCCAGCATACTTGCTTGCTTATGTTGCCATGGAGACAGGCCTACAACCGTAAACAAATGTGAGTCGATTGAAGGAACGATTCAGATTTTGGTGCCGGTTCGGGTTGGAAAGCTGTGTGTAGTGCCCGTAAAATTAATTAACATGCCACGAGTTGACCGTAGCTGTTGGCGTTGAATACTCCGTGGCTGGTAAGGAGGCGTGCAGCTGCTGATCAATTGACCGGTTGACTTGTTCACGTAACCTGTAGAACCGTTTCCATGGATGCCACCGTGGACCCGGACCTTAGCCGGAATTTAATCGATTTATCCATCAACTAAAGCGACGCAGAATCAAGGAAATTGTCGTTCCATGCAAGCTTCTACAGGCGCTCTCTGCCTGTGCGTCTGGATACAATGAGGTAGGTTAATCGGCATCAAAACAGAGTAGTTTGTATCTATTTCGTAAGTAGTTTCAGTTGTTCCAGTAGTTCAGTAGTTTCGTAAGTATTACAGTTGGGGCGATTGGGGCTTGCTTGGTCAGGATATGAGTGGACAGTCGCACATTGTGATTCTTTGCGACTTGCAATGAATACCCGGTTTTCGCAATTCGTAACCTGAACTTCTTTTGATAATTATCGCACGATATTCAATATTTTATCACTAAAACCTCCATTTCGTAATGCTTAGGTTAGTGTGCGCTATTCATCTATCGGTTTCTTCCCCCAACATCATCCCCGCGACATTGCAGCGAATCGAGCGAACTGTTGCAAGAAGGACAACGTATACCGAAAGCCCATGCCGAAATTATGTCGATGTTTGCATTTCTTGGCGGCTGATTCGGTAGAAATGAACGTCTGTCGAACGCATTTTTTGCTCTGATCCGACAGGCTAGCCGGGCATGGCCAATGACGACGATTACGACTTCTCCGGCGTGTCACAGCCTGGCCCCTTCGACATCGAATCTGCCGTGCTCTCACAATGGAGGGCACAAAACGACGACGAAGAGGACGACGATTATTCCTATTTTTGAGCATTTTGTTACATCATATTGCTAAGCAGTTGCACCAAAATCCTCTGGTACCAATCCTTTGATTCTCTTACACCTCTCACACCCTTAAAGACTACCGTGACAGTTTCCCGATACATTCTACCGGGCTTCTGTAGGATTACGTTATGAACTGGTGCAAAAGAATTTACCAGCGTAGTTTAGTTAATTGTGATTTTAGTCGATTCTTCCTACTCAACCAGAGGCCTCGCGCACCAAAATACTAGGAAGTTCCTAGTATTTTGGTGCGCGAGGCCTCTGCTTGAGTTTCTCTTATGCCTACAGCTGCTTCCACCCCTGCTTTCACGTGCCTTTACACGGTCTTTGGAAATCGAATCGAGTAACGAAGACCATCTGCATTGATTTTCATACTACTTGTATGAACTCAAGGTAGCTTGTTGCTAATAAATCATTAAAATGAAGGACAGGAAAGAATGAAAATATTGACAGCGATGTGACATTTTTTATTACGGAGCGAGCGAAGCGAGCGAAGTCTTACGTAGAATAACGGAAATTTCTGAGTATGAGCGGCCGGCCGGCCGGCCGGCCGTGCGGACGCTTTTGCGAGGCTTATATCTCAGCAACACACTTGACCGATTTACAACGCGGTAATTTTGTAGGGAGCTTCATTCTCTTCTACCAAGTATTGGACTATTCCCGATGCATTGGGTGACCCTTATGCACGTGCCACGTGCAAAACGAAGAGGTGTCAGTTTTGTAATTGTTGCAATATCTCGGTAACTTGGCCGATTGCGCTGAAAGTTGGCATGTAGGTAGGCACCCCTAGGCACTGCATATCCATGTGCCAGAGTTGGGGTGCTGCTGCACGTGCGCACGTGCAGGGGTCGTTTCCAGATCTCGAGAACGGCTGGACCGATGGCCCTCAAATTTGGTACACGGTTAGGGACCATTAGTAGGGTGCCGTGCACAAGTCAGTTGGGACCCATTTTGCACGTGCGCACGTGCAGGGTGCCGCTCTCAGATCTCGAGAACGGCTGGGCCGATTGTGCTCAAATTTGGCACATCGCTAGAAACCGGTCAGTAGGGTGCCGTGCACAAGTCAGTTGGAGGTACCCCCTCAAAATTTCGCACGTGCAAGAGTAACCCCCCGCTCGCTCCGTTAGTCGCCCCAAAAGGCGCTATACTGGTTATAGGTGAATGGAAGTAAAGGAATGAAACGAAACTACGCTGTTTATGACGGATGTCATTTTTACACCAAAACATCGAGTTTTAGGGATAGGTTTTTATTGAAAACTGAATCGGAAAATTGCGCATTTGACCATTCAGAATACCTTTGAGGTCATGAATAGCTCACTACCAGTTCTTTTTAATGCGCTCTGAAGCTCCTTCAGCTGCCTAACTAGTAACATTAAATGATGAAATGCTACTGAAGGAGATGACATCATGTTATGCCGCTAGCACCTATACGGCTAGTGATACTCATTACTCAATAAAAGCCGGGGGGATCAGAATCGTGAGGCTCTTTACTGATCAGTGATCACTCTCCTGGTCTCTCCGTTCACCCTAGTCGACTCAAATAGTGCCTCGGTGCAGTTCAGGCAGTGGAGCGGGTCGACCAGCTGGATGGTCGTGGGATTTTCAAACCGAGACAGCAACGATTAGCAGTCTGGTCAACCACTTCATTGAACAAGGGCCTGAGTCTGCATGTCTGTCTAAGTCTTACTGGGTCAACCACTTTCGAATAAATACTCGCCAATATTCGTAGTGTATTCGGTAACATCGGTAGAAAGCATGCTTTGAATGCTGGTTTCATAATAGCCGTTTTTACTACGGGTTATCTGGCGAGTGGCAAATGCACCAAACTTGACCAAAATCGCACAAAACCTCTTTTTCAACTAACATCTTCATATTAGGAGTTTTTTCCAATGTGTTAACCGAAATAATGTCTGATAATTTGAAAAATCAGATTTCCCCCATCCGATCCCCGATCGAAAAATCTCGGTTTTCCCGACTTTTGGGTCATTGACCTAACCTCAGAGGTCACCATTTGACCTATGATCTTGAAACCGGGTACCGTTGGCTTCGCCTCGTGACTATCTACACGATGTTTTTTCCTCGAGGCTCTAGCTCAATTAGGGGCCAAACGCGAGGGGGGAGGGTCGCACCCCCACCCCCACCCCTTGTGCCGTCGAAGGACGCAAAATGGCCTGTGCCGGCGAGGGTTAAACTTACGCAGTTTCAATGGTAAACATGATTATTAGATATTTTAAATTCAAAACGCCGTTTTATTTGATTAATTCGTATTTTGAGAAGATGCACCATGTAAAAAGCTGTAACGGTGAGGTAACTGTGTGTGATAAATCTTAAAAAGTACGTCCGTACTCGAGAGACACTCTTAATTTTTTACATGAATTGACTGATTCTTCTTATGGTCAAGACTCAGACGTGGTCTGTTTCTGAATTACATAATTTGATCAATATGCTTCTTCAGGGCCGGACCAGCTCCCATATGACATCGAGGAAAAGCTGCGCGAAATCAACAAGGTTCACCAAGAAGACGAGACCCCCATAGAAAGCGACCGACCACGAAAGATAACGTTCAACTCACGTGTGCAGATGCGGGCGATTTCAATGCGACGCATCCCGCCGCCAGCCGGTGAGCCCAGTATTTAGTGCGCACAGTGCGCTATGCAGCCAGCCGTGGTGTTCGTAGGAACTAGGAAGTGCAGTTCAAAAAAGTGTTCAGGTCGTTTATATCGGGAAAAAAACCAACTTTTAATTTTTGATCTTTTTTATAAGTTGATAAGTTTTTTATAGTTAGAAAGATAAAGACATTGAACAAGTTATCTCACTTACTCGTACACGGGATAAAACGTGCCTGCATGCCTCGGTATTGAAAACAGCATTTTGTTCTAAATATCCATTGAACTGGCCTCTTATTTCATAACAGCTTTATCTCCCTTTCATACTTATTCATTGTTCCATTTACTATGAAACTGTGTAACTTCCATGTAAGTCAGCATCTTTCTCAGCCTCGCTTCTTTTTCGGCGTGGGTACAATGAGCACCATGTTTGTTTACCGTACCGTGTATCACAGTAATCGCCTCTGGGTTCAGCTTGTTTCAGTTTGACGAAGTCGCTGCTGACCTCGATCTCGGACAAGTCCACCAGGTTGACGCTGGCCTTGGGCAAGGCCCTGATCAGCGCCAGGGCGCCGACCGGCGTCACGGGGTTGTGTCCGATCCAGAGCTTCTCCAGTGTCTGGTTCTTGGTCAGGCCGAGGCCGATCGGCTTCATGTTATTGTCGCTCAGCCGGTTGTGCGACACGTCCAGCTCGATGATGGCCGAGTTCTTCTTGAGCAGGTCGCGCAGGGCGACGGCCGTGTCGGGTCCGAGACTGTTCCAGGCCAGCTCCAGGCGGCGCAGTCGGGTGTTTTTGCGCAGCCCGAGCAGCAGCTCCTTGGCCGACTTGGAGCGGAAGGTGTTCCATGAGAGGTCGAGCGCCTCCAGGCCCTCGCTGTCGGCCAGCACGCCGCCCAGCAGCTTGCCGCACTCGGAGAGCTCGTTGTGCGCCAGGCTGAGCGAGCGCAGGTTCAGGCTGATCTCGATAACGGCGGCCAGCGCCGGCGCGTCCGAGTCGAGCAGCCGGCAGTGCGACAGGTTCAGAGAGGTCAGCGTGTAGTTGTTGCTGAGCATCACCTGCAGGCTCTTCAGGCCCGGCCCGGTCAGGTTGTTGCGGCTGAGGTCGATGCTGCCGATGAAGCTGTTGTCGTTCATCATGGCCTGGATGTTGGGCAGCACGTTCTCCAGCAGTCGGTTCTGACTGAGGTTCAGGCTGGTTGCCGTCGTGTTGTACGCCAGGGAGTGACACAGAGGCAGCATGTCCAGTCGCGCCAGCCCGTAACTCTGCATCCGCAAATCTTCCGCGTTAGTTTCCAGCGACCGCAAATACTGACTGATGGGCACAACGCCCAGCTGTTTGCATGCCAGCTCGTACGTTACTTTGGGATTCGATATTGCTGGTCGAGGAAACAGCTTCTCTCTGTCGGATAGATCGCTGTAGTCTGGCTCCGGAATGGGTTCCAGCAATAGAGACCTGAGTGGCACCTGTCCTAAGGCGTCAGCGATTTCCTGCGACTCTATTTCGACAGTTGGGTCGTCGGTGTCCTGGAGAGCCTGCGTCGTATGGGTATCGATTGTCTCATTTTCACTGTGTTTTGTCTCAAGTTCAGTGTGAGTTGTTTCAATTTCAGTGTGTGAACCGACCTCCGACTCAGAAACTTCACTAAGCTCTGTGTCGGCCTGGGATCCGCCATCGTTCCTCCCGTCAAATGAGATTCTTCGGGCGGCTGGGTCGGTCTCCGCCATTTTACCAGAATCGCCATTTTCGTTCTTAATCGAAGCGTCTTGAACACTTTTAACTTTTGTGTTGCTCTGGGTAGGTTTTTGTTTGAGATCCGGGTTCGTCACTTGAATGTTTGGTAATTCCGATTCCTCGTGCACCGTTTCCATCGTTAGACTTTGCGGTCATGTGTTTATATTTATCTGTCACTGTTTTTTTTAACATTTATGACCTGCTACATGAAGCGTTTAGTATAAGTTTATTTGAATATTGACTTCAACTTTATCATTGTGGATCAGTTACGCCACATTTGTATTCATTGCATTGGTGCAATGCTCGCTCAGAAACCGAAAAAGCGCAGACACGTGTGCTGGGTCACTGAAGAACCTCTGTTTTCGTTAGATCGGATCTAGGGACCATCAATGCTCAGTCACTCATCATATTCGATTTTCTTCATAGGTTCTCGGAAAGGCTTGGATGGTTCTCACTCGGTAAAATAGGCGTTTTGGGTATTTCCCTTTGAGTATGATGAACACTGGGCCCAGTAGACAGGTTGCCTAACGGGCGTTAATTCGGGTGACCGGTATAAGCCATGAGAGACGCCGTGCGTAATACGTATTAAAACGAAAACGCCTTGATTAGATTTCATTAATGTCGTAGCTGGCATATGTATGTACATACTTGCTATATATAGACCTTATCAGCTTATAAACCAAACTGATCGGCATGTGTCGACTTAGGTCTGCCGCGTGCGAAAATTTAGACCGTGTATTATTTGTACATATTTCAAACGATAGATGGTGTTCTTAAAAAACGTACTCGAGTATTCAGTAATGAACTATGTTGGCTTTATCTGACGCTACCTGTCCTGATGAGCAAACTCGTTAATGCAGCAAATGTCCTTTTTGCTTTTTTCTTGCTCTGTTCCTGTCGGCATGCCAATGTAAAACTTTGATTTAAAACGACAAGTGATCGAGAGACGAGACGAGGGTGCATTTCCTTTTAAATGGTGCCAGCTTTTAAATACATCCCTGTCCGACTTAAATGTAACTGCTTTGTTTTTACATTTGCAAATACCTGTGTTTACCCCATGACGTGTGCCCTTTTCAGAAAACGCTAGTGACGAGCCGTTTGATTTGAGCAAGTACGATACCGACGAAAGTGTCGATGATGTGGAGACGTCGATCACGACGCCTCGCGAGTCGGCCAAGGCGGCCGTGACGGTGCCGCAGAGCCCGGCGCGACCGCTGCCGGTGCCGACGCCGTCCTCCTCGCGCGGCCCGGCCGCCGCCGCCGCCGCCGGACCGGCCGCCCAGCAGCGGCAGCGCTTCGCCAACAAGACGGCTGTGTCGCGAGTCGGCCAGGGTCCGCCCAAGTCGGCCGGCGGCCTGGCCACCAGCGGTTTCACTGCCAAGGGAGGGTCCGGGTCGGCCGGCCCGGCCAGGCGGGGTTTTTAGCGAGTCACAAAATTTCCAGTTGTCTGACGGCCTGGCCTCCGATAGGCTGTCCGTTCTGTCACTGACGGACGATGATGATGACTGCGTGGTCGGTGTGGTGAGCTCGGATACGGGATACAGTAGCGGTGGGACGCCAGCCGGGGACGCTCCGCCGCAGCGGCCAGAGTCCGCGGCAGGGCGGCAGCAGGCGCCGCCGGCCGCAACGAGCTGCGTAAAGGCAGCAACGAGCCTAGCACTGCCCAGCGTAACGGCCGGAGGTGCAGCAACCAAATCAGTGTCTGCATCAGCGCCCCAGCCAGTATCTCCACCGGCCGCAACGCCAACAACATGCACGGCGGCATCTGTGTCGGCACCGGTCTCCCGGCCAGCATCCCTCGCCGTCACTAGGCCGGCAGCGGCAGTGACCACAGCGTCCAAGTCGGCTACCACGTCCGTGTCTTCTTATAAGGTGGCGGCTTCTGTGTCACCTCCCAGCACGGCATCGGTGGCGACGACGACATCCCGGTCGGCGCCGTGTCTGGTGTCACCGTCTCAGCCTTCAGTGGCCACGATGACTGCCTCGGTGTCTAACCGTGTGCCGAACACGGAGCCAAATCCTGGGCCGGCGCCAGTCCGTGTATCGCCGGCGCCGGTCCGTGAATCGCCGCCGCCGGTCCACACGTCGCCGGCGCCGGTCCGTGTATCGCCGGCGCTGGCCCATGAATCGCCGGCTCCGGTCCGTGTAACGCTGCCGCCGTCCCGCTCTGCGACTCAGAGCCGCGAGCCCTCTGCTGAACAGCCCTCGCGACCGGCTGAGGAACCCGCGGATGACGACCTGCCCGAGACCATCAGGAAGATCTGGCCTCAGGTGGCCACCCCAACGGAAGCGTATCGGCCGTCTTGGAACGAACCCGCAAAGAAATCGCAAGCCAACGGCAAAACTCCTACTATGCATACCTCCAGCAGTCAAACCTCTAACCTAAACGAAAGTCCTAGCAGGAAATCGAGTGATGCTGCTAAAGTAAATGGCTGTGAGGATGATGAATCGAAGAAAACAACGAAAGCATGTGTGTGCAAGGCTCGGAATGATATGCTATGTCACTGTAAGGGCGATCCGTCTGCTCCCAGCTGTGGGACCTGTGGTGGTGTGAGGACGGCGCTGTCGAATGGCGGTAGATCCGAGGACAGCGCCGTGGACTCGATGACTGAGCCGACCAGCTCTAGCACGGACGGCTCGGTGGGCGGCGCCGCCGAGCCGGCCCGGCCGGCACCGGAGCAGTCGTACGCCGCCATACACCTGCCGGCGCAGGTGGACAGGCGCGCCGCCCAGCCGCCACAGCCACCTCAGCCGCCGCCGCTGCGCAGGCACGACTTCACCATAACCAGGAGCCCCCAGTCTGCAGTGGGACGGTCGCGCCTGTCGCGCTCGTCGAGTGCTGGCCGCCCGGCCAGCAGTGCCGGCTGCCCGCCGCGGCCGCGCGCCTCCGTCAGCGCTGACCGTCCGGCGACCAGCGGCGCTCACCAGCGGCCGGCCGGCGGCTCACCGGACCGGGCCGCCGCTGCCCGACCCTGCTCCGCCCCAGTCCGAGGCACCGTGTCGGCACCGACCCTGCCGCGGCGCCAACCGGCGGCACAGAGGTCAGTGCATTCCGTTAGCCCTTTCATAGCGTTTTTATGTTGAATTACGAGATGCGAGGAAAGGTGCAGTTTTTTTGGCTTTCCATGGTATGATGATGCACATCCGCATATAAACCACTATTCGTAAATGTCTAATAATGATTGACAATCTTAAACATATTTTCGGAACGTTTTCCGATAGGAACATTGGACGTTCCATATCTCCTCTGTGTATTTCGAATGGAATAATCTTCCAAGCATTCTAGGAAAATGCTGGCGTTTTTCTGTATCACCGAAGACAGATCCGTGTGACCAGTGGGCTGGGGTGGCGCCGCATGCCCTCTGGAGCGGGCGTGACCGGCGGACCGCTGCGTGTCCACAGGACGGGCCGACAGACGGCAGTACCGCCGGCCGGCACCAGCCCTCCGCCGCGCCGCCGCCGAGCCCGCTCCCAGGATCCGACGCTCACCTTCCAAGAGTGGCTGCAGCAGCACGAGCGAGAGCGGGCCAAGGCCATCCAGGACAGGAAGAACAACGCCAGAAAACGCAAACAGGAGGCCAACATCAAACAGGTGCTTGTCTCCGTCAACTCATTCTACGTAGGCCCTCGGCCCTCGTGCTTGGCACTCGGACCTCCGTCAGTTTTGAAAAAAGCGCATTAGAATATTTTCTTCGCCAGTAATAAACGCCTTTATAGTATGCCATTCATGCGTATTTCCATATACGCGAACTTTATTTGCCAGTGTCTGCTATAATTGTGATGCCTTGCTGGGTTTGTGTGTACAGGAGAAGGCGCCTCAGGCGTTCCGGGTATGGCTGCGTAAGAAGCGCCAGCAGCAGCTGATGGAGCAGCGCGTGCAGCAGCTGCGCCAGCACGAGATGCTGGCGGCGGCCGCCGCGGCGCCTCCCGGCCGCCACCAGCAGGACGCGTTCCGACAGTGGCTGGCTCGCAAACAGCGCGAGCGGCTGGCGGCGGGTCTGGGCCCGTCGCAGGCCACTCTACGCTCCCTGTCGGCTCTGTACCGGGTGGGCCGTCCGCGTCCGCCCAGCGGCGCCCGGCCACCGACCGCCCCCGCTGCCGCCGCCGGCGACCGAGCCACGCTGCACACTCACCTACAGCACATCTACGGGCCGAGTGAGTGAGCCGGCGGCTACCTGCGGCCTGTCGGCGGCGTTGTAATTGCACCACGGCGCGCCACCCATCCCCAAACGTAAAAGAACGTCCCGAACTCTCAGACGAATCTCATTAGATGGTGCCCTATCCCGTTGTCACCTTTTCCAACACTCACTAGCTCGATTCACTTATGTCGCGTATGTCTTGAACGTGCGTTTATTTGAAAACGGTCGTAACTGACGTCCTCTGAGCGGAGTGTGACTAGGCTTTTCCCAATGGCAGGTTGTTGAGTTGGGTGGTGGTGGTGCGTCTTGAGTGGTGGAGGCCGATGTCGGTGCCGTTCTCTGACCGCACTGGGTCCGATTTTCGGCAGACGTCGGGCGCGGCCACCGGTGCCGGCCGGCCTGTCTGCCCGGTACCTGAGGGCCGGCTGTGCTGCCGGCTGTGATCCTACTACCACGCGGCACCGCGCCTCTCTGGCTGCCTGTGCTGCCCCCGACCGTGACCCATCTCTCGAACCCGGAGCACCCGCCGTCCAACGGTAAACCTCTCCGGCCGCGGCGGGACGAACCTGGCCGTGCCCACTGCCCACCGCCGACCGGTGCGCTGGGGAACAGACACAGCGGCTCTGTGTGACCACACGAATCGTGCAATCAAATACACCGGAGTGAACAATGCCCGAGAAAGCTTTACAGAAACCGACTGAAATGCAGAATTAATGGATTGCTTTTGCTAATGAACAATAATCTACACTTTTTAGGCGCAATTTCAAAAAGTTCAAGACCAAATTCAAAACGTTCACGTGCATTTCGAACGAAAAATTTTTGAATTTGGCCTTTAACTTTCTGAACTTTCGCCTAAAAAGGTGCAGATTGGGTCTATTTTATCAATTATGCCGTTTTGAATGGACGGATTGACGAAGCGCACACTAAATAGAGACAACTACGGGGAATTTGGCCTCAACGTCCGATATGGAAATTCAATAGAATCCAAAGTCAAGATTGTTTACCTAAGCCGGACACGCTCAGCTGACCCACTGCGGCTTTTCTAGAAACCGCAAACCCGAATTCGCACCAATTTATCTGGGGGTTTGATGATTTGCCAACTGAACAACGAAATGGACTCATGAAATATATGCGTCATTTTCACA